GTGTGTGTGTGTGTGTGTGTGTGTGTGTGTGTGTGTGTGTGCAGCTGGGACTCACTGTGGGCTGATACTTCTCACAGTTCTCACACCAGGCCTGAGTGCTCTGCTCCAGACAGATGCTCCTCTTCAGGATTTCGGCAAAGTCGTATTCTTTCACCGTTTTGTCTGAGGGGGGAGGGGAATGACATTAGTGCGTGCCTTCTCCTCATCAGCACGCCCCCGGGGGGTAGGGGGGGGGGGGTTGATGGAGCATGTCAGACCCACCCTGGGAGTTCTGCTCGGGGTAGTGCATGGTGAAGAGCAGCGTGAGCGAGGAGCGGACCGTTTCCTTCCCACAGCGACACAGGCTGCTGTTCTCCACCTCGCAGCCAAACAGCTTTCCGATGGCCGACTCGCTGGAGGAGCCCAGAGCACTGCCACACGCACACACACGACACATTTCCTTTCATTTCCCTCTGCGGGGCTCCGGATCGGGCTCCGGCCGACCCGAACGTGGGGCCGGGGGCTCTGACCTGCTGCTGGCTCCCCGGTAGGCCTGAGGACCCTCCTGCTCCTGGGTCTCCTGGTGGAGCTGAGTGAGGATGAAGCGATTCCAGCTCTGGATCAGGCGGCCGAGTTTGGCTTTCCCCGTCTGCTCGTCTGAGTCTGCCAGGATCAGACCCAGGGCCGAGGCCTCGGGGATCGTGCGGAACGCCCGGAGGAAGTTACTGGCCTGTGAGAGGAGATGACATGTTCGGAAACCTACGGGATCTGTTAAGAAAGACTGATCTGAAAAAGACCACAAAAAATAAGTATAATAACCTGACACGGATCTCCTCGTGACAAATCCAACATGTGGAAGAGGAAGCCGAGCTCGCAGGCCAAACAGAACTCCTTCTGGCAAAGATGATTCTGCACCAGACAGCGGATCGGCTCCAGAAAATACAACACCTAACGCACAAAACCCACGAAAGGAAAGTCAAGAATTTACGGATGCTCTCTCACACCGTGTTTCTGATGTGTCAACGCGTCCTACCTGAATCATGCAGTTACAGTAGGCATTGGGAATGTGCGGCTCCAGGCCAGCGAATAAGGTTCTGTTGTAATGTTTAAAGTCAAAGTCCTCCAGCCCAAGTTTGGAGTACTTAATCGTGACCTAAACGAGAGCGAAGCAAACCTCATCAGATAGGTAAACGCACAAACAAAAGACACTAAAAGACAACCCACGGAAAATCAGAGTGAAGCGTAGGAAGCCTAACCTTTCTGTACTTCTTGGGGACCATGCAGAGGTGCGGTTCTTCATCGCGTCCGATTGGGGACTCTGGGACCTGGTTGTAACTGTCATAATCGAGCTCCACGTCTTTGATTTTATAGGGAACCTGAAAGCAGACGAACATTATGTAGGAAGAAAGGTTTATAAAGAAATTGTATAAAAAGTTTGCTGGCACAGAAATACTGCATTGGAGAAATTTCAAACAGAATTGTTTTTTTTTTTAAATGTATGTATTTTGTTCAGGAAGGGCCCGTGCCTGGTTCCGAGGGCGTGTTCGGGGGTTTGCAGCGTAGCCGATGAATCCCACCGTCTTCATCGTGCGCAGGATTTCTGGGTCCACAGGAGGAGCTCGCCTGTTGGAAACAGGAAAAAAGAGACCATCTTTTAAAAGCACTACCTAAAATAACAAGACAAGCACGATGGCAAGGCAAATGTTAACACATGATGTCACTGACATCGGATTCCTTTAGAAATGTGAAGCTTTTCAGTGTCATTATGTTCCCATTTATTTGTTAATTGGACTTCATAGTATCTGCTGAATAACTTTACACAAGTGGGGATGGACTACTGTGTCAGTGGGGTATGACCTGTCTTACTAGCCCCAGAACTAAGAGGGCAGAAAAACAAAGATATTAAAAAAAAATTATATTTTTCCGATCACATCTTTCAGCTTTATTATATGAAAGTCAACAACAATGCATTTGTTTTTTTCTAAGTTCTTTCCCACTTCTCTATAATTTCGGAGCTATTGTATCGAAAAGCATGCTTGAGGGAACAGGTCATAAATGCTTAGTTTCACTTTTACCAGGAAGGGAACTTTGAATTACAGCATAAATGTTCTGCTGGCCAATGTCGTCAGCCTCCGACGACCATGTGACCATTACAAGTGGCCGGGAGCTTCAAACGGGAAGCCGCGTCAAAACAATAACATTCGCCGTTGCCATGGACCTGCCTCCGATCTTTTTTATTCCCCCCCGAGTCTGTTACCTGGGGTTTGGCGTTGCCACGGCAGCGGGCCACTCGGACAGCAGCGGCTCGGTGCTGGTCAGCGGCAGTGGAATGAGAGAGAGGGGCAACAGGTCGTGGTTCCAGTCCAGCTGGGGCAGCGAGTCCACCAGGCAGGGCAGGGCGAACTCCGTCTCCCGGGAGTAGTCGTTGAAGGACACTTCGGGGACGTCGGACCACAAGTGAAGGCACCCCCCCGAGTCCCCGAAGGCCAGGGCTTGTTTGCTGGACGACACGTCGAAGCTCATGAGCAGCTGGCCGACGGTGTTGACGTGGAAGATGTCCGCCACGTTGGCGAGGCCGGTGGGCTCGCAGAACTGACACTGACCTGCAGGGGGGAGGGAAAAAGTGGGAGGTGAACCACGTCAGCGCTCGGGACACAAAAGCAAAAACAGCACAAAGAGTATTTGTCACACAGGGGTAGAAAGTACTTCCATTGTTGAGTAACGCTACGGTGGAAAGCCTATTACCATACAAACGCATGGGAAACGCTCGCCGAGCAGGCTGGGAACGCGCAAGCACCCTGACTAAAGGGTCTGAAAACAACCTAAAAGCCCTGGTGAAATACCTGTCTGCGAGATGATGACCAGGCGCGATGTGTACGTGGGAATGAAGCGCAGGAAGAGGGGATCCACGTGCACCTGCAGCGGAGTGACGGCCCGCATCATGCGCAGGTCGTACACCATCAGGAAGCGGTCGCACGCCAGCCCGTTCAGCCCCCGGCTGGAGAAGCCGCAGGCGGCCAGCAGGTTCCCGTGCACGTCGAAGTCCGACAAGCTGCCCGAGAAAGCGTCGAACTCTTGCTCCGTCTTGAAGCTGCGCAGGTCCCGGAGGGTGACCTGTCTCAGCAGAGGGCTAACGTCAAGAGGCAGTAAATGGAAAACTTTTGAAACAGCAACGAGGCGGATACGCTCTTACCTTGCCGGAGGTGTGCCCACAGAAAAAGTAACGACTAGTCTGGCGCATTATCGCCACTCCTGGAACCTCAACTGTGAACTATCCAGAGCACAGACAGAAATCAGCCAAATATTTCACCTAATACATCTTATTAGTACTTATTACTGCATAGCCTTAAGCCCCATGTCTCACTTTTTGGGTCTCTTGAACTGTGTTGAGGTCAACTTCCACCACGTAATTTTGCAATCCACCCATGAGCAGTGTGTTGTTGTCACTCATGAGGAGACTGTGCATGTCAGCCCCTTCCTCCATCCTGGAATGAGCAGACGGTCAGAGAAGTTTGTCGGTTACCAGGTGAAATCATTTATCATTTCCCACAATGGCCATTCGTTTTCTTGAGACTTACGGGTAATCAAACATAACAAGGCCCCCTCGGGTGTAGCATTTGAGGTTACTCTTCGAAAGGAACAACACCCCCGTCTCTAAACTCTGAATGTGCCGGATGTCGTCTGCGGCGTGCGCTTGGAAAGAGGAATAGCGGCCCATCGTAGGTCCAAAGAACGACGTCACATGGCCCTACAGAGAATGACCGTGGTTAAACAACGCCGTAGCTGTGTGTGACAGAAGTCCTTTAGAGTACAGCATAATCGGAGCCCTCACTCTGTGGTTTCCCATCCAGAGCATCTCCTCCTGGAGATCGAAATGCGTGGCAGTGACTGGGATTCCCACTTCTGAGACAGCACTGTGGAGCTCGGAAAACATTCCCTCCATCAGGTGCACGGGCTCGGGGACTGTCATGGTCAGCCCCTCTGGATCGAGCTCCACGCCCTGCAGCAGGTTTGCGTTCAGGTGAGGGTCCATGGAGGGCTCCAGGTCTGCGTCCAGGGCGCCGTGAAGGCTGGGGGGGTACTCGCCCATCCCTCCGTCCAGTCCGTCAAAATTCATTATGGATTCAGCTACATTAACCTGCAGAAAAATGGCAGCTTCTGCAGTTATACCATTCCTGCAACTTGAAGCACATTTTGCCCCCCCCTCCTTTTTTTTTAAGGACAATGCTAACTCATTATGCTTTTTCATTAATAGTCTATTGTGCTGGGCTAGCAGGAGATAGCCCCGGAAGTTCACTGTAGAGCTCAGAGATGACAAAAGCTACGGCTGTGTGGCATTTAATTCTATCTAAAAGCAAGCATGACGACATGTTCAAAAGCAGCGTGCATTTACTGCTGAAAACAGGCTGATAGCAAGTGTTAAATAATAGTTAACGGTCGACCTGTGTCGCTAATGCTAGCATAGTTAAGACCCAGGCAAACCTAAACAAAGCTGCACTATGCTCCCAGCAGCAACGGTGAAGGAAAGGGTTCATGTGGGGAAAAGGGGTTTTCACTTAAATCAAGTAAATGAAAAAAATACTTAAATGTGCGTGCAAAGTCTTCACCAACCTGTTTTTGAAACGTTTCAACGCATAAGCCTCCATGCTCACTGTTCACAACAAAAACATAGAAACGCTTCCGGAGCAAACTGAGGGGGCGTTCAAGAACACTCATAGTGTCAGTATCGTCCATAAGAAAGTCTTGTTAACCTTAAAGTAAGGGTTTTGTTTTTATTATTTGGCACTTTTTGCCGCTTTAAATAATTTTGTCATGTTATAAAACATCTAAATTTGTACGCGTTTCTTTATTTCTTCAACGGTTTATTCTATAGTTGTCTTGAAAATTACCAAATACTTCAAGGCATTTGAGCTGCAAGGCCTATGAACGCATCACAATCTCAGTTGTTTGATGCATTTAGGATAAACTGATATGTATGTGACGTTCTATTGTAAACTCCACGAAAACTAGTTTATTTATCTTATCTAAACGTTTATATAGTTCGTCAATTAGAAATACTATGTATTATCCAGTTATTTTAAAATAATACAGTTTTTCTCTGTTTTTCAACTGATTAAAGTTTTTCTTTGGTTTTTACCAACTCGAACAAAAAAAATCTATGAAGGTTTCTCAGTATTTTTGACTGTTCAAAGATCTTACCACGAAGAAAACAGAACATGAATAGTTAACAATAGTTACAATTTTAACACAACTGATGTTTATAGAGTGATCTTGTCTTTTAAAAACATGTAACCTTATAATGTTATACGTGTCATATTTGATATACGCGAGTTCTGAAACGTTTTGCCTCTGAGACCTTTTGCATTATTTAATGGTAAAAAATGTGTTCAAAACCCTGTTGTACATCCAGATAAACCCGGCAAAAGCGGGCAGAAGACTACACGACAATAATGTTGACTTATCGCACGTTAATAAATCATAGATATTCTAAAATTATTTCCGTTTATCATTTTTTTCATATTTTGTTAAAGGGCTAAATAAAGACTTCAAACAAAAGTAAGTTTTATTCTTGGATGAAGCTTTAAAGGGTTAAAAATGTCCTGTTGGTTAATTGATGGAATGATGGAAAGTAACTGAAGATGGCTATATGAAGGAATGCTTCATATTTGACTACGAACCAACTATTAACTCTTTTTTTTAAAATAACATATAGCATGATGAATTTAAACAGTGGTCAGTAGTTTAAAGGTCAGAAACAAAGAGAGTAAATGTTCATTTTTGGGGGAAAAATCTCATTGATTTCCCCAGAAACTTGGTAAATTCCATTTCATCTGAGACCGAGTGACCACATTTATTTGTTCTGAGTTCGACTAATTTTCATCTGAAAGACAGAACAGGAAGAATTCCGTACCCTTACAACCTTTCAAAATGTTTCTAATGAGCAAATAAACGGGCAACAGATCCTCCTCTATGCGTGACTGAGTGTTAGTCAGGCTTTAGAAGTTAGTCAGTAAAGATCCACTCTTCTCCTAACACCACAAACGGGAAGGATAAAGGAAGTAAGACGTCTTCAACTCTCTCCTGCTCAAAAATGAGAAAAGAGGAAAAAACGTCTTCTGTGGTATAAGGGGGGCCCGTGACGGACGCAGGCGGAAAGTTTGTCCTGCATGAAGAGTCCAGCTCACAAACGTCTTCCAGTGTATCAAAAAGAGATGTCCTCACTTCCCCCGCCACTGATGTGAAAGTTGATTAGATCTCATATGTGTAATTAATGGCTCACAAAGACCAACACGATTGTTTGTCTCGTAGCCAAAATAACGCATACGCCTATAGTGATGGATGAGTTTCATGGGCAAGGACAGATTAGTCACCGAAGATGAAGAAAACAATCCAAAGTGACAAACAAATACGTTTGTATTCTCGTTTCATTTTTCCCCACGTTGCCCCCGGTCGTGGGCTTTCTTTCCAGTCTGTTGCTCATGTACCCATAAAGAGGCTTCCTGTTTGTGCGTTCCGTGGATGTTGGGAGGCGCTCACCTGAATTATGCAGGGAAATCCTGCATGAGCTCACCTTTCGGCGCTGTCATCGCAGCGGTGACCACGTGGGACGCGGCGAGTAGGCTCAAATAGTGGGCGCACACAACGCACAGCATCCACCTTCCACTGAGACCAGAGCGCTGCAGGAGCCACTGAACGAAGCAAAACACTGTTTGTTTTTTCCCATTTCCAATAGCAATAGTAAGTTAGAGATCCCGGACATGGCTTTTTCCCCCAGGAGTGTTGCCTTTCTTTTCATCTTTGTGATGAAAACAACATCGTGCTTTCCCCTCGGTCAGCCAGACGCATGTAAAGCCGTACGGAGCAACTCTCTGGACCTCAATCGTTTGGCTAAAGAAGCATTTGTTCAGGTAAGTTTCTCTTTTATTTGAGACTGAATGAGTTGGGGGATAGCCGATGCAAAAAAAAAAAAAAAAGCGCTTATATTTCCAAAGTTTTATTTTTGTTTTGTTGCATCCAAAAGGTTTCAAAATTCCTCCACCTGCAGCCTGTCTCGCATCATAGACCTGTGGCATTGCGGTGGTTGGGCGTGCTGGGCTTAATTGGCTGTTTATTTTTTACAGGCACGAAATCAATCAAAGGATTTGGCCGATTTCGACAGTTTTGCCTGGATGGAGTCAAAGGACATGTGCGACCCTGAGAGCCTCAAGAAGAAATCCATGGTAATGTCAACAGTGCATTTTGTGTCCCTGTGGATGAGAAGCATGCGCAGAAATGTCTGGGGTAGATGGCAATTAAAAAAAAAAAAAGATTGTCACTTAAAACGTGTTTTTTCTCTCTCCTCTCCTTCAGCCATGTGTTAAGAAGATATACAGCCTCCTGGCAGAATATAACTCTTCGCTCCACAGGATTTCGGGATTCCCAAACTGCTCAAAGTTTGCCAATATGGTGAAGACAGCCGTGGAAACATTACACGAAAACATGGGGAAATGCGTGAAGACTCTAGGGGAGAAGACGCATGAGAAGGTGAGCTTGGTAAAACTCTAAATTGAGGGCCAAAAACAAGAAAAAATGCATTTACAAGACAGAGACAAAAGGCCCCTCTAACTCCCATTTCTCTGCAGGAGTCCCACACCACCCCTGGGATCACTAAGACCACTCAGGGCTGGCAGAAGCTCTACCTGTGCCGCCACACGCTGGAAAGGCTCTTCTCCTTCTCCATCCTCACCGCGCGCGTCTTTGCCGTGGGGGATCCAGCTCGCCACGCGGAAGCCTCTGCGCACAAATGCATGTAGAGCTGCAGGGATCTGTCCTGAGAACAAATCTTCCTGCCATGCATGTCTATGATTGTATTTCCCAAGGAATCACTATTTGAAATATTTATTCAGACAAATATTTATTGTATTTATTTGGTATTTATTCTGATCATTTTGATATGTATCTCTGTATTTTTTTTTAAAATGCATACCTAAATAAATCTTTTGAGAGTTTAAAAAGAGAAAGAAAAAAAGCCTGCTTTGTTTTAAGCCTGGTGTCTGAATATTCATGTTGTTTTTCCTCTTTCTGAGGAAAACCAACCAGCTACAAATTAGTTTGAAAATTCTGAACTTTACCTGCACCGAGGAACTCCCCTTTTTTCTTTTTTTCTTTTTAATGAATGCAAATTCTAACAAGCGGACATAAGAAGGAAGCTGTGCTTTCCTAAAACAATCCTGTTGCCTTTTGGATATCCACAACTTCCTGTGTACTTCCTTTCTTTGATACAGATGTGCTCAGATGAGGTTTATCACACTCTGATTGGCAATTTCAATTCAGTGGTAATTCAGAGCATGAAGGGGAAAAAAAGGAAAGACAAGACATCCACTCTGCGAGGATGAGGAAGCACTCGGTGTTGTGATGCTCAACAAGGAAGTTTTTCCTCTAAATGAGCCAGCAGCCTCCTCTCACTGTCCACCCACAGCACACACAGTAGTTCTAGCTGTTTAGGCCCTTTCAAGGGCTCAAAAGAAAAATATTGTGATCAGCCAGGGTTTAACAGGAAGGAAAGAGAGTTGAGAGTTGTTGTTAAAGGACAGTCACAAATCTGAACTGAAGTCATCTCAAGTCAGGCGAGCTGGGAATGATGGCTTTTGTCTGACAATCGCTCAGTGTGGTTTATTTACAAAGTACAGTCATTGTAGACCATCACTGGAAGGGTGATGTAATCAGAAAAGTAACTCATACAGTATTACATAATCCTTTGTTTGCATGAATAAAATGTAATAAACCATCTCAAAACTTTTATCACATGCCACAGTACTGGAGAATGTGATTTTGTTTGTGTTTTTCCACCGGACAACTCTTCAATGAACAATGTGGACTTTTGTCCATAAATATCTAGAATAAGCTTTGAATGAATAACTTTGAATCAACAAAGCTACTTTAGAAGAACAGTAATCTGGTATATGTTGTTTATAAAATGTACTTAAAATCACAAGAAATGGTCCAATATGCAACACATGGAAGTAAGGAGAAACTCAAATAAGATATGGTCCAACACCTGCATTTCAGAGAGATATTCTTTCATAGTCATAAAGTGTACTTTAAGTACTTAAGCAAGATTTTGCTAAAAACGACAAATCAATAAAGAAAAAACAGCAGGTGAAATGATGTGAATACAGAAGTAATAGTTGAACCGGTAGGATTTTAAATAGTAAATTTAATAATTGTTCCTTAAAAATGTAAGACTCAGCAATGCCAGTCAGCATTTACATTACATCACCCCACAACTGACATCACTTCCTATTTTATTGTTTTGACAGACTACTGGGAAACAACTTCTTCAGTGCTGACAAATGTTTATTTTTCTTCTACTTCCCAGCGTGTCTATCATTCACACTAAATCAAACACTGCCCCAGGTTCCCGTATATCAAACACCACTCTTCCCCTAAAATCGGAACAGATATCCTCGGTCGAGTGGTCATTGCTGTTCAGACGCTTTAGATGGGAGTTTGGGAATGACTCAGAAGCCCTGCTGTGTTCTTAATGGGGAAGCATTCACCTTAAATCAGTTTTTTTTCTACTGTAGCAGGTTTTTATCTGCTCCCATTAAATGTCAGTTTCTATTTGGTCATTTTGTGCAACCCAGCAAACTTTGCATGATCATAATTAAAAAAAAAAACTAAATTTAACGAGGGGATATTGTGTTAAGCTTTTCATGTTGAATAGAATTAGAAATGGGACTCTTATCTCAGATCAATCAGAACCCAGCATACTTTTGACATGAAATGAGGGACAAATGGCTTGTTATCAGAACAGAATAAAAAAATAAATGTAAAAACAGATCCTCTCGTTGAATTGTGGTGCATTGTGGAATATGGAAGTGATAAATTGCACATCTGGAAAACAGAGCTAGAAAAGACTATGGTTTTATTCACATGCCATCATTCTCAAGTAATACAGCTTCATATGTGGTTTACGTGGTGGACCGGCCTGCCTGCAATCCTGACCTTTCACCATTTAAAAATGCTGACCTTTTTCCCTGCCCTTTGTCCACTAAGAGCAGGAGTTTTGACAGTTGACCACTGCAGCGAGAGGAACGAACCCCAGGCTGGTGAGGGCGGGGTTAAAGAAATAACAAGGAATTTCCTGGTGAGCTACGACAACACAGGAAGGTAAAGTTTGCTCTGGTGAAATGTAACGTTTTAAACGTCGAAGATATGACTTGTCCCGTTTAAATACCCTGCGCCTGACTCGGACTGTAACCCTGGTCATTATTAACATGCCGCGTGGCACCGTTAGCAATGATTAGCCTAACGTTGAATTAAAGTTAGCTGGACAGCCTGGTGATGTTAGCATGCTCGCGAGCCTTATGTCGTACAGCAGTTTATTGTGTCCTGTTAGCGAAAAGTGGTAGGGCTGGATGAAATGTCTCTTCTGGGCTCAGAGAGGATATTTCACGTGCTTGCTTTTCCACTTTTGCGGCTTTGTGCCTAGCTAACGGCTAGCGAATGAAAGTTGCGGCGAGGTAACTTGAGATAAATGATAGGAGGAGTCCCGTGGACGGGGGGCGCGTATTTTTATTCACAGAACAATTCAGTCGGGCGGAGTCGTTTTTCCAACACTTTCCTACACTTAATTATTTTTCAATGTAAAAAAAAATATTGACAGAAGATATTTGACCAACAAATAAAAAAAACAACAGGGAGGAAAGCCAATATCAAACTGGCTACGTTTTCTTGTGTTTTTTTCTCTCATGCCTTGCAAAACACATTCAACCGAGCAGCAAGCTTTCAAACATATATTTTTATGAAATGTCATAAGTTTGTCCTTTTTTTTTTTATAGCGACAATGAGCTGTGCTGTATTGTCAGAGTTTGTACACTGTCCTAGTTTGAAATCTAAAGAGTCATGACGGGATTAAGAGTTACTGTAAACAAAGTGTTCCCAGTGGGTTCCTGCTTTTTTGAATGAGTCTCCCCTCCTTTTTCCAGGATGAATGTTGGTGTAGCTCACAGCGAAGTGAACCCCAACACGCGGGTGATGAACAGCAGGGGGATATGGCTCACCTATCTGCTCCTCACTGTGGTGCTGCACATCATCCTGCTCAGCATTCCTTTCTTCACCGTGCCGCTCGTCTGGACCCTCACCAACGTCATTCACAACCTGGTCAGTTCAAATGGAAACACTGATGGAAACCATAGTTCACAAGCTGAAAGCCCAATAGAAGCAATAGCATTTGCAGCATTTAGAGGGAATCGGCTATCAAGATGCCATCTGAATCTAAGTGATTGTCATCAGTTTATCAGGAAATGTACATATATCGCAGTAGTTATTGTCGTAAGATCCTGAAATAAATTCCTTCAACTTCACGTGCACATGCCATTTGCATGTACAATATATTTTACAAAAACATGAAGTTGTTTTCACTTCCAGGGCATCTGTAATTGGGCTCAGTTTATTTAGCGCATCAAAATTCCAATGAATTCAAATTCAATCACATACCAATCAAGCTCAAATTAAAAATTGGTCCAATGCATAGGCAGTCAGATAACCCTAAAGTTGCCTAATGAAAGGGTTATGAAATCAGGATTTTATTAGAGCAGAGCGGCATTTTTGGGAGCCCTCTGAGTTCAGCTTTGGTGAAATCGTATGGAGTTGTGAACGGAACCAAACCGTGTGGGTGATACTAGTTGGACATCTCTGCCGTTGTTGTTCTCCTCTGCAGGCCATGTACTTGTTTCTACACACAGTGAAGGGCACTCCTTTCGAAACGCCAGACCAAGGCAAAGCCCGTCTGCTCACGCACTGGGAACAGATGGACTACGGCGTCCAGTTCACGTCTTCACGCAAATTCCTTACCATCTCACCTATTGTTCTGTAAGTGCATTGATATTGTAAAGGTTATCCACCTCCCCGCTCAGTTTCCCTTTCAGCATACTGACCAGGTCTGCATAGATCTGCATTGTTTCTAGAGCACTATGTAAATGATCTCATGGAATAGTTGTTTTCCTATGCAGGCTGTTCTCTCTAAAGTGCTTTTTTTGTCCTGTTGTGTTCCAAACAAGTTTGCCAGTTATTCTAATTGGTTGCAACATACTCCTCCAGGTTATTCCTTTTTGCACCCTGCCTTTTGTTTCCGCTGTTCCAATTTTTTTTTTAAATATACTGGTATAGCGCTTTGACATGATAATGACTAATATATTACAGCTCTCTGTGTACTGCCCAGTGTCTGGTCTGAAGCGTTTCCGAATTAAATTGGAAGAGCCCAAAAAAAAATATGACTTATAGGTCAACGAGCAAGCATCAGAAATTTTACATATTGATAAACACCACATATTAGATGTTCGAAAACTGTTGTTTAATTTCCACAAAAAGCTTGTAAATTCAGAGAAATGTGCCTTTGCAAGCAAGGCAAACTAGACACACGTATTAGTGTTAAGTATCTCCTGACAGATGATCCCAAATCTTACAAACCTCCAGTTCAGTTAATTGCATATTGCATTTACTACAGCTGAATAAATGACTAATCTGACCTTCTTGCACATCCAGCTAAGAAGATCCTAATTAGACCATGATGCTCTGTCTCCATGACGATGGAGAAAAAAAAGCTAGTTATTAAGTTATTTTAATGCATGTTAGTTTATACAAAATTGTACAAAATGAAGTCCCTCAGAGTTGGAAAAACACATCCAGATAATGCAGCAAACAGTCACTCTTTCATGGAAAAGACTTAAACGGGCGCATGTACTGTCATTTTTATATAATTTATTCTTTTTGGAAGGAAGTGTCTAACCCTACAGCCACATTCCCATTGGATCTGCCCTCACCTATAAGACTGAGGGCAGACTGAAAGTCAGCCTAGCAAGGCTGTGTGTCCAATCATGGGTGGTCAAAGCATTTTCATGTTGTCCCTCTGCTCTAATAAAATCCCGATTTTTGTTGTTGGCACGGCGTCGTCTCCCAGAATCAACATTGAAACAGTGTAAAGACATCTTCATTTCATTTGGCAGAAGGCCCACGGAATCATGGAATCCATCTAACTTAATCAATAACATGTCTCTGATGGTTAAAAATCGTGTTTTATTTGTATTTATTCTAGTCTCCTCTCCCTTTACAGGTACATTCTCGCCAGTTTCTACACAAAATACGATCCAACGCATTTTTTCGTCAACACCTGCTCCCTGCTTAGCGTCCTCCTCCCAAAGCTTCCTCAGTTTCACGGAGTACGAATATTTGGGATCAACAAGTACTGACAGAGCAAGGAACTGGATTTTAAACACACTGGACTTTTACTTTTCTGTGCATGTTGTTTTTTTTTTGGGAGTGATTTTGTGTACAATGTGAAGTATTCTGAAGTTACTGCACTCTTGTTATTTCATCAGTGGAATTTGTTCTGGACTGACATTCCTAATATTAAATCAAGAGCAAAGGTTGAAACGTGCTGCTTTTAAAATGTGAGGGTCTGCGCACATTTTTTTTCTTTTTTTCTCCAATTTTCTTCTAATACAATTCCAAGTTTGTTTCATCTCATTACCTGAATGTTTTTCACTCTATTATCGTCGTTCCGTTTTCTGTCTCCGGCAGCTTGACCACCATTGTCGCTTTGGCTGGACGCATCGAATGACGCAGACTGATGTAACAGCTGGCCCTGCACACCTGGCCAGCATTGTCCACGTCCCCACTGTTCAGCAGAGAGGGTTTCAATTGTTTAGTTTGGAGGAATATCATTCTCTCCATCACAAAGGCAGGTTTACAAGTCCCGGGGAAGTCCAGACACTTTACATGAACCCACCGTGAGGGGGCCGTCACACTGTTGGCTATATGCTCGTCCATGCAAGGGTTTCCCCCACTTTACTGCAGGCGATGCATTTGTGTTTGCATTGGAGCGAGGTTTCCCTGTATGTTATGTTGTTTTGGGGAAGTAGTTCAAAGGAAACGCAGTATCATGAGAATACAATTGTGCTCTTCACTATGCAGAGCCTGGGAAACACATGCAAATGAGGTGTGACGCCTCAGCTGTTGTAATTGTAAGCGTTTGCCGCGGCGTTCATTTGCCTATTCCGTGGCACCGAATGACTCTGGGATATACACACGGGCGCGGGGGGGAAGCCTTTTTGGCAGAATCCACATGGAAGCCGGGTGTAAATGTCACCATCCCCACAAGATATCAGATATGGCCCACAGAAACTCGAGTGGGAGAGAATGGACAACAGAAGGCCTCCTTTATGAAATACACAATGTAAGCCGTCTCTTTTGCTTACACTTTCACTTTAAAATACAGTTTGATGATGAACATTAAGTGTATGCAGCTAGCAAAGAAAAAAGAAAGAAAAAAAGGCAGAGCTTTTAAGTGCAAACAGGCTCAGTATGGCAGCACTGGGCAATGTGAGATATCACTTCAACTAATGATATTTAGATTTATGAGGAGAGACTTGATAAGCTACCAAAAATGCCTTTGAAGATAAGGCCACACTTGAACGGTGTGGTGCGATCACAGGAAAAACAAGAAAATGTCCTGAAGAACTCAGGGTTTTCGTTCAACCTGGAATTCTAGAGAACTAGCACAAAGACAAAAGGTATCATTAATAAAGCTGCAAAGATGACGGTGGGGGTTGTGATCAAACACGGGCTGTGCCAGTGCCGTAGAAATCAGTACACATTTGTGAAGAGGAAACTCCGCAGGTCAGCGTCCGTGTTCCCCCCACTTAGTAGTGACCCGTCCTACCAACGATGGTGCCCAGCTAACCCATTGCACTCCATTTACCTCATTTGTACTGCTGTTGAAATTTTCATTATATCTTTGGCTTTATCTGAGCTTCATATTTTGCTCAGTTTTATTCCATTTAAAATGCACAGGCTTCACCAGGTGATATCCCTTTTAAGTGTACACGTGTTTGGCAATAAACACCAATTCTGATGACTCAGGAATAAAAACTTTGAAAATAAATAGTTAAGTCATGAATGTTAAATGTTAGCAAAATGTTCCCTTTCCTCCCAAATGCAAGTATTTAAACAACGAAGATTGTACGAAAATTGTACGAAAGCGTCACCAAAGCTGTGATGCTCTGCAAAAAGAAACTTGTGGAATGATGCAAAAACACAGGTTAAAGCAAAATAAAGACTGTCATTTTAATTCAAAATACTTAAGAAGACTTTAACTGATGTGTCCTGCAAAACGAGTTGCGGTACATACACACGCACACATGCACACACACACACACACACTTCAACTGGCAGAAATCTGGAACAGTAATAAAAACACCACGATGTGGCCGGAGGTCTTTTAGGGAAAATCAATCAGTACAGGATGCTCAGTGAAACTAAACTCTGTATCTGTTACATCTTTGCTGAATGTTGAATGGGTTTGTCTTTAAAGCATATTGTCTAAAAGTACACCGTCATCTTTTAAGACCGTCTTTAGCTTTTTTCCTGCTGTATCAATACAGAATGGTTTGACTCTGGTCCAGAGTGCACCCCCCCCCACCCCTGCGCCGGCCCGGACCAGGTCCACTTCTCATTCACAGGAATCCCTCGGGACTACCTGGGGAACACCTTTCTGAAAGGCAAAAATTGTTTCCGTTAACACCCTGGTCCGTCTCCTTCTGGGATCCTCGTGGGCTCAATGTCTTCCTCCTCGTCGTCTGTGTCGAAAAACTCGTCCTCGAAAAAGGATCCTCCGAAGCCGTATTCCTGTGCGTGAACTGACACTTCGTTGGACATCAGGTGCGGGGATCCTTCGATGAAATCGGCAAACCTGTGGGTTTAGAGGGATATGATCAACATCCTGCCAAAGACTGCAGATTTGAGCCATGGTCTCAGTCACGCCTCAATACAGGAAATGCTGATTAAATAAGTTAGCGTTTCTCTTCATTTCCGATTCTTTAACTTAGCATCTTCACTCTACATCGATATGTGAGAAGCTAAGAGTGGAATTAGTCCGAGTCTCCTCCTGATTCTAACTGTGACTGTTGAAACTGTTATATGAGCATATGAGAAGTCCTTAACGTACTGATGTGCTGTGTAATACAAAAGAACATTTATTCACCAATTTGTTTCAGCAACGTAAAGGAGGACATTTTAACCTATACAAAACGTTATGTTCAAAAGCTTTTAAAATGACTTTGCTTCAGCCATCTCCCATCCAGCCGACCGGTTATAGATGTCACGTTAGTAAGTCTTTTTCATTGTCATTGTAGAATTTTCACTTCAAACTGTGAAATTTTACTTTTCAACATAACAGTAGAAGCAGAACTTGTACTAAAAGTTCCTGTAAAATTTAATAGATTTAGGATATTATGTAAATGACGATGTCAATGTGTTCCATAACTACCAACCTGTTATTCAGTGATGAGGTAAAGCCAACAAAGCCTCTAATCTCATCTTTCATCTGATCACACCCCTTTAATCAACAGTGACTGCATTTACACACGAGGCAAATTCTGACATAAACTCTTTCTAAAGCAGGGTGTCTAACTCTTTTGAGGGAGGCTGTCCTTCAGGTTTTTGACGTTTTACTGCTTACAAACGCCTGAATCTGATGAAATGGAGCTATTAAAAAGCTCTAATGTCATTGAAAACCTGCTAATGACTCGGGTGCGGACAGGGTGGTGTTGGAACAGGGATAACCAGCCCTGGAGGGCCGGAGTAGGATATCCCTGTCTTAAAGTAACATAAGAAAAATGTTTTGCTGTTTGGCTCCCCCTATCTACAAGTGTAGGATGCAACAATTCTGTGTGTGCAAACTTGCAAAAATAAACAGCCATAACTTTAAATGTTTTGCTCTAAACTAAGTGTTTTCTAATCTGCTGTGTTTGTAATTTATAAGAAGTGAGAAGAACACCATTTAAAAGGTTCCACATTTCTTTAGTCTTGTTGTTATAAGACACAAACTCGAAAAACGCACATATTTATTGCCATAACACAAGGACACATTCAGTGACCAATGATAATATGAGCTTTGTGGAGTATGTATCACGTGGACGGGTATGTGATCTGGTTCCAACATTACATCTAACCTAACTATTTTCAACAAATACAAAACAGGAATGAACACGCGAGGACTATCTTGTGACGTGTTGGGATCTACCTCAATCTGTGATTATGACAGTAACAGTTCACCTTCGGGGCTTTATAAAAGAGGAATGTCAAATTGCAATTTTTTTTTTTTTAATAATTAAAAAAGAGCCACCTTTTTGGGGACTGGAGCCTGGACACGGCCTTCCAGGGGCTGAACTCTGGGCTGTGACAGTACTTGCGCAGCTCCTCCAGAGCCCGTCGGGTCTCCTCCTCTCCCTGCTTCTGGTACTCCTCCTCGGTCAGCAGGCGGGGGGGCTCAGGCTTCCAGCGAATGAACCGCCTGATCCTCCTGCAAACCACAGCAGACACGTCCTGTAGCGGGGGACCGCAGCTCAGGCGCTGCCCACCGAGACTTTCTGTCCTCTAACGCCACCTTCTGTTGGACTGTGGACAGCACATACCCCCAAGCGGCGAATGCCAGATAGACTGGGTACTCCAGATTTTTGGAAACCAAAGCTGAAACAATGATTGCAAAGGCGACCTGTTGAATCTGGATCCCCAAATAGATTAGGAGCAGACCAAACAGCTGCAGGGTCCACGACAGGATGTTGATGCTCTTCTCATCCACCAGAGGACCGTAACGGTAACACACAGCAAAGCTGATGAATCCCACCACTGAAACGTAACCTGACAGAGACAGAGATGCCGACTTAGGGGAAGTGTTCATGCACAAGCATTCAAAGTAGTGGCACTACTTACATTCTCACTAACATATGACAGAGGAGGTGACAAGAGAAAGAAGGGAAGGAGCGGTGGCCACCATTCCACCTCATCCATCTGACCATTTTGCATCCTAAACACTAACTGCATGTCTCTGTTGTTCTTCTCTATTCTCAATACCATAAGGCTAAACTGTGCCATAGCTAATCATTTATCCATGTGCAATATTTCAGTCTGTAACCACAGTGCAATAACAACCTGATATAGTGTAATGTCACTGGTCACTTTTTCTTTTATATTTTGTTATGAGTTGTATTATTTTAGCTATTATTTATTTTAATTTCATATTTCGACAGTTAAGGCCAGTTAAAGAGTGTGTATTACATTTTTTACCGTAATTTGTAATTCTGTCATTTAGCCTCTTTTTGTTTAGTGGCCATCTGTGTGATGCTTGTTAAGCTGCTGGAACTTGAATTAAGCTGAAGGGGTCTTCCCAAATAAATTAAATAAAGTCAAGTCTAAGTCTAATTGTGCACAACAGCCAGTAAGCAGTTAAATATCACAGGTGAAAGGTTTAGCTGATTGCTTCCCACTTTATCGGGTCACTTTTTATGGACAGTCTGAGTTCATGTGGAGTGTTTACCTATGACCATGTGCCAGTGATCTCGCAGAATGGCGCTGAGGTTCCTGCAGACGAGCTGGATGGCGTACAGTGAGAATGACCACCCGCCAACTATCAACACATAGAAAGGGCTTCTCTGTGGAACAGAAATTCAAAGCTAGTATTAAACCCATCAGGTTGCATTTCTAAAAATGAATGAAAGACATTTGAGACTAAATGGATGACATACCTTCGGTAAAAAGCGTGCTAAAATGAAAAAAAGGATGATGAGAGAGGCAATCATGCCTGTGCTCATCCCAGCGGAGTAGTAGAACATCTGACTCCTTCGGGTTGGGACAAAAGAAGGAGAAATGTATAGTTAATGTTTATTGTCATCCAGTTAAATCTAACGAGAAATATTGGTTTACTAAAAATAAATACCTGCTGAGTGACTCTGCAAACACAACCAACAACGCCCCAGAGACGAACACCAAAAAGAGATAGATGTCAAACCCTACAAAGAAGAAAGAGAACCAGGAGGCCATTTTTTTCCCCATACAGCAAAGTTGCTTTTTTTAAAAATGAATTTACTCTCCACTTACTACGAATGGGTTTGACAGAGTAAGGAGTGGTTTCAGTAGGATAAACCTTGAAGCACATCTTCTTGCTGAAGAGGCTGATGTTAATAGAGGTTTCATTGTGTCCCTCACGCAATAAGTTCTGAAACCATCCCCAGACACTGAACTGATCCAGTTCTTGTAGCTCCTCCTCACCTTCCGCAGTTTCCACCTTAAAAGGCTTTGAACTCCAAATTTTCACCTGTCAGAAATCTGGGGTTACTTCGTGTCAGAACACCTACAGATGAGTTCATTAATGCTTGATCTCTCTGCCCCCTTACGTCCCCCTCCTCACTCATGATGTTTTGCATATTCCATGAGCAGCTTTTGGGGGTTGTTCTCACCTCCAAGATTTAACAATCCTGAACTGAACTATACTGAACTAATATTTAAGTAAAATATGCACAGACTTAAAATAACTGACAAAGGTGTTACAGAAGCAATTGTTCTTTCCAACTTATGTCATAATTTGGACCACATTTTCATGTTTTTTCAAGATTTTGCCCTTAAAAATTCTAATGAGAAGTGACATTTAATCAATTAAGCATTTCTTCATTATCGAATGTTTGTTGGAAGTTGGGGGGTATCATTGAGTGATCTTACCTGAATTCTTGTCCAGGTTTGCCTCCAACCTGGTACTATGGTATTTTCATAACAGAATCGGTTTGGCCCCAACATGATTTTCTCTTCTCCATCCCGTATATCAACGACTATATGTTTGTTAGCTAGGTTTGGCAAGCAGACACACATCAAATAATAAATCTGTACAAAACATTGCTTTCTAAGCCAGAAAAAAAGAGGGTCTATGCAGGATTGTCTCCAAGGGAATCACAATGGGCAAAAACACATAAACAAAATTAATTGAATTACCAATTCAAAAGTGCTTACTATTTCACAAAAACCAACTCCAGTGATACAAAGTAAACCACTGTAGATGTCTGTGCTCTGATTAAGAGATATGGCAATCGTTTTTAACATTATAAATCATGACATATAGCTGTTTTAAAACAGCTACATGTAAAAAAAGGTCATCGTTCTAAAAAAAAAAACAACTATTCGTTACCCTCAAGAACCGGTTAGCTGGCGAGTTGGAACAAATCTAAAATAACCTGCACCTGTTTAATAGTCGGCACATAAACTGAAAAGTGAGCTTGGGGCAACAGGCAAAATTATTGTACAGAATTGTGTTCAACAAACTAGCTGCTGATTAACTGTACTTTTAAAAATATTGAATTTTTGGTGTAATGCAGACACAAAAATAAAAAAACCAGCGTCAAAAGCAACAAAATAAACTCACTTTAAGATATTTCCACTTCGCCTTGAACTAATGCTAGCATGTATTAGCTTGAGCTTGTTTAAAATAAGTACCATTCATGCGAATAGCTCTGTCCCTGCTTTGTAATTAAACTGCTTACCTGCAGTCTGGTGTGAGGTTTGAAGTAAACAGACAAGGAGCACCATGTAAATCGATAAGGTAGTCCTTGCTAAGGCGTAACCGTTCATCATTTTCATGCATCCCGCCATGATAACTTGACCAAAACCCTCCTCTGACGTTTGTCCCGCCCCTTCCGCTTCCGAAAGCTTGATGAGTTACAGCTCGATCAGCCAATGATAATGTCTGAAAGGGTGTCGTCATCGGCGTCGTCGCACTTTAAATATATATCTCTATGCTTTCAACATTTCTTTAATATAGTTAAGTTTTGGATGCTCGGACCAGCAGTTGATACGTTATATCTGGAGAGAAGTTACAGAAACCTTTCACTATGTACCTCTTTTCAGAATTCTTAACCTCTAACGTTGACATAGTTTTTAAAAAAAACTTTCTGAAAACAGTGATTGATAGTAAATGTGAATGATTTTTGTTGCATACATTACATTTTTTATACAGATCTAACTTTTTCTGATATTTCTGAAAAAATATCCGAAAAAAACAGCTACTTGTTGACACTTTCACATCTTCTTCAGCATGCGTGCTTCCTGTCCAGTTGAAGATCCATTAGCAGCTGCTGAATCGTGTTACACCCTAACTGACCTGCCTGACCTCTGGGTCTGCCTGCCATATAGCTACGGCTTTGGTTGAATGACAGGACCACATGATGCGAAACTTGGTCTGGCAGCTGGTAAATGACAGCTTTGAGCAAACTATTAATGCAATGAAGGCACCTCCAAAACAAACAAAACATTTAGCAGCAGATCAATTCAAGCTGATGCTGTCAAAATTCTCGGGCACATAGTTTAGTCCTGTGTTGGTTTTTTACTTATTGTAATGTACAAAGCATACAATAAACCAAGCTGAGATCTTTTTCTCCACTCCTCTTGTGGTAATACCGCAGTTACGCAGAGTGAGTCAGGAGTCTATGCTGACATCACAAAGCATGACCATGACTGTTAAAAGGAGGAGATTGTAAATGCATAAACTTAACTTGTGTAAAGTGTTCATGCCAAAAAGATACAAACTTTCTATGATCACTTTAGGCTGAACGGTAGTGCAGTGGTGAGCACCTTCACCTCACAGAAAAGTTCCTTGTTTGATTCCCAGCAAAGGCTCATGTGTGGAGTACGCATGTTGTCCCTGTGTAAAAGTTGGTCTAAAGTAAAGATGATCGATCGTTTCTTTCCCAGAATTCATCATGGCTTGTGATTTCTGGCAAACATGACAAATTACTTTGCATTCTTTATTATTTTCTTTAACCGCACTTGGTAATCTTTAGAAGAAATAGTAGTGTACTAATTCATAATTGAGTGTCAAAGTCCAAAAATGAATATGTAACATTTGGATAATTGTGTGACAACACAGTCATCTGTATCGTTTGAAACTGTTGGGCAATCAAAAAGTTATGCAGCCCATCAGGATGTTACTTAATGTGTAAAAAAAGGAACTTCAGAGGTGGGTTTTTGTCTTTGATACAGTCCTTTGACAAAAATGTTGAAATATAAGTACTACTACTACTGCTACTACTACAAATAACGATAAAAGCAAAAATCACAATAGTTATTTTGTGGAGATAAAATTCAGATGTGCACGAATGCTTTTTGAAGAAAATATGATGTCCTTTTTTAATAAATGGCCCAGTAAAGGTGCATGGATTACCAAAATATCCTAAAGATAGCAGACTGAGTGGGATCGTTCTCGGATAAAAATACATTTTAAAATCATTATATTTTGACATAGCATTCTTGCCAAATTTGAGACTTAAAGTTACTGGCTTAAAGATGCCCCAACCCCACAAATCTGTTATGGAAGTAGATATATAATTTTGTTTCAACATAAACAGTATTCTTATGTTTCTTCTAATTTTCGTGAAGAATATCAACATTTATCTCGCATCGGTGAAAGTTTTATAGTTTTTTAGAAAACTTAACACAAAGTTGTTTATAGTGAAATTGTAATCAATGCTTACTATGTTACTGACTTGTTGTAATAAATCATAAAAGTCGTGGAATTAGCTGGAAAACTACATTAAAATGTAACTGCTAAAGAGATATATATAAAGTTTACATAGATAATTATTTTTAGAAATTGTTTATGTGGTGCGTTTGATTATACCTAAAAAACAGAAACTCGAAAATTAGTTTAAATCAGTTAGGGCACTCTTACCTTTTTATGTTGGTGCCATTTTTTACTAAAACAAAAATTTCGTCCTAACCATACAGTTTTCAGGTTATTATTGCAGTTCATAACGACTTAATTGCAAGCGGAACTAACAAGTTTACCTTTTCATTACTTGGAACACAAAAGGAGTGTTCTATTTAGCGGGTGACCGTGAAGGCAGCGTGAGACTGAAATAAAAAGACGTCGACAAACTCAGAGCAGCCGTCAGAGCAGCAGAGGGCGGAGAGCGTGTGGGGTCAGCACAACTTGACAAACTTCGACACTTCGCGGTTTTCGCCACTTCGACTACTTCAAATACCTTCATTTCTTAAAGGTAAGTACCACTAACTGCTTTTTGCAACACAAACATGTCCGTATTTGTCACGTATTTTGTTTTTCGGACCACAGCACTACACGGATTCGACTTTTTTTTTTGGACAGTCATTAAAAAAATGTAAAAACGGAAAAAAAAATTCAATGTAGGATTTCTTTCGAGAGGGAATGGCATTTAATTGATTAGCTGTTTGTGTTTGTGTATGTTCCAACTCGCTTTGAGGACTTACAGATTAAATCATTGGATCGAGTTTGTTCTAAATTGGCCCATGACAAAGCTGGTATTGTTGTAAACGATGATTAACGGTCCGGAACAAAGCTGGACGGCCTCATTTTTGCCCCTCAGAGCAGACACCTCCAGTCGTTTTTATTGTGTAGTTCAGGCCGTTCGCTGAACTTCTACATTTTGTACCGATTAAGCAATAAAAAAGTGATAAAAGTGCAGCCCTTCCCTTTTCGCGTTCCCTCAATGTTTACCCTCAGATTTTCGTCACTTCGGATTTTATGTCAGAGGCGGGAACCGTGACTAAAACAGTTTTCTACTTCTCCCTTCTTTCGGTGACTGCATGTTTTTTCAAGTTTTTTAGACTTTTTCCGAAAGGTGTGTGTGGTGTAAAAAAGTTGTCACAAAGCCTGTATCATGCAGCTTCCTCCTCAAAATGACTCAGATCTTCCACTCTGCTGCAGCTCATGTTACAGCTGATGTAATGTGCCTATAATTCAGCTTTATTTACCCTCTTCTATTTCCTTTAGGTCCAGGATCTTCTTCGACAATGGGTGTGGAAGGAGGAATGAAATGTGTCAAGTTTCTGCTTTTCTTCTTCAACTTTATTTTCTGGGTAAGTGTCTGCCGGTCCCTGTTTGTAATAGCAAGCCTCCTCAGTGGACGTGGGAAGCACCAAAAGTCTCTCTACGAATGAGGTCAGGGTTTATTATGGTGGCCATTAATGCAGCAGGGAGCAAAAAGGGAAAGCAAAAGCAGCTTATCATACCTGAGGAGTTGTCTGTAATCAGCATTTCATCTTTCTCGGGCCCTGCAGTGTCCTCAGGAATGCTTTCGCTTTGCCAGCCCTGTGACTGTGAGCATAAAATCAACTATTTTCCACTGCTTTTAGGCCGCCATTCGCTTTGCAGCCTTATGAAAAATCAGCTGATGAGCACAGGGCCGCATAACCTATGAACAAACCCGCTTTATTTATACTTCCTGAATTCTTGAGGACCGCTCGTTAACTGTCTCATTAAGGAAATCCTGACCCTTAGAGCTTTGTTTATGCGCACTGGTTTTATCGTTTGAGAAGTGGTAATGACAGAAGATGTATCCCATGACCAGATTTCAAAATGTGACACAATCGTGTGGTGCATCCAGATCAAGGTGCTTTAGTTTTTTTCCCCTTCTTCACGGACAGAGCTCCGGTTTGACCAGTCAAACAGAGGAAACAAGGAAGCAGCCCTTTCACACAAGGAAGCAAAGAATTACAAAGCTTTACTCTTGCTCCAGTTTATACACTATGTTTACATTTAATAGAAAACCCTCTGAATACTTTTGATGTCTTTTTTCATTTGTTAGGAATTCTGCCCTGTAAGTTTACACATTTTGAATTTTTATTCCTTTTGTTTGTTTATCAGTGTCCACGTTTTAGAGGTCAGAGAAGGAATCAAATCTGTTTACAGTAGCTACAAAAAGCATTTATCAGGTTTGATACAAGTTTATCATACAGTGTCGCGCAGAAGTAAACAGGCCTGCTCCTGTCTGCGTTGCTTTTCTTGTGAGGCGTTCACAAGTGTAGGACAGTTAATAAACACGTTCTAAACACAGGCTAAGCCCTCCTGAACAGATTTGTTGTGCTATGCAGAAAACATCTACACACAAAGAAATGTCTAATTGAATTTTTCTGCCATCTGCAGCCTTGTTTTATTTGATTCACCTAACATTGTAGAGATAGTTAGAAGTATGTTGGTAAAACAAACAAAACAACTGCTTATGTTTTGTAGTTGGAGTTATTTTTCTTCTTTTCAAATCAGTTTACAAAAACATGGTTAAACTTTTGATGAATGTCAAAGTGATGGCAAAAATGGAACAGTAGCCAGAATAAAGACTCCCTGGCCATTTCATAGACTTATGCTTATTTATTTACTACTTCGTTACTGCTATGCTAATAAATAGTTACTCTGTAGTAAGTAGCTAATTCAAACTGAAAAGCTTCTTCTCAGAAATCATTGCATTCATTCACAGGGCTTGGTATTTACAGATAATCGTGAATGTGGGATGATCCTAATCTCTCTTTCTCCCAGTGTGTTATTTGAAGAGCTTCTCATGGACTATGAATTTAAACAGCCCTCAGTAAAATAAAAGCAGTGTTTTGTCATTAAGGACAGTTGAATCTTTTTCTATTTCAAATCTTCCATTTGATTGATTTGCAACCCACGAGACTGTCTCGGGGCTGCACGGTGGTGTGGTTGTTAGCACAGAGAGTTCCTGGTTCAAAGCCCGGCTATGCGTGATCAACATGTTCTCCCTGTGTGTGTGGTTTGTGTGGATCCTCTAAAGGGTCCCTGACTGCCTCCCACCATCCAACGCACACATGTTGAGTTCTCAAGGAAAGAGTGTGCCTTATTTGTCTCTGTGTGGTCCTTTAAGGGGCCGACAACCTGTTCAGGGTGTACCCACCTCAGGCCTAATGACAGCTGGGATACCGGAATTAGATTTAGCGGGTATATGGAAAATTACTTGGCTCAGCTCACCTGTTCTGTTCACCCCTTTATGTTTTCCAACGCAGCCATTAGCCACCTATTTGACCAATGCTCAAATATTTACATTGGCGTTTCCTCTGAGGAATGATCGTCAGTGCAGGACTTAATATGGTCCACATGAGAAAAACATGTCTGATTACTGACTAACAGCAAAGCAACAAAGGTATACATTAAAGAATTATGTCACTACATACATGAGGAAAATGACTGAATCTTAAACGGCGGAGTTCATGTGATGTCATTTCTTCATCCTTTATTTGTTTTTGCTGTCACATGTGTGTCACGAGAGATAAAGCGTTTAATCAGTAACTCAGCGTTATAAGGCTCTAACCAAACACTTTATTTTTTGCATTTGCTGGGATTCTGCATCTCTCTAGACGAATGTTTACCCTGTCTATTCTGTTATAAGCTTCTTGGTTTCCTTTTGTTATCCTTTGTAAAGAGTATTGAGCTAGCCTTAACATGTTGAGAGCTAAAAAGACTCAACACATTTGCTGAGATAGGAGTTTAAAACCACCGCCTGTCATCTGATGATGATTTTGCCTTTTATTAGTATTCTAAATACTGTGTCTGCGTGTGTTCTCTACCACCGTCCAAAAACGGGTTTTATGTTAGGTTGATTGGACATTCCAATTGCCCATAGCAGTGAGTGTGTGTTGTTGTTTGTCCTTGTGTGTCTCTGTGTGGCCCTGTGATGGACTGGCAGACCGTCCAGGGTGTTACCTGCCCCTCGCCCACTGACTACTGGGATGTGCTCCATTCCCCAGAAAAGGGACTGATGGATGGTGTTGTAAATATATCGGGTTTTTTTTTAAAAGACAGAGAAAAAGAGAGAGAGAAGGAAGAAATGATTTCCCGCAGAGGGAGGGGAAGGTGGAAGCTCAAAAATACTGTCCCAGGAGGTGTAGTTATTAGCTGAATATGAGTTTATGCACTTGAACTATAAAAAGTAATCAGGGTTGACATTTCAGGTCCTAAATACAGCAAATGTTTGGTGTTGTTGCTTTATAGAATTATCAAATTAGTTCTGTTTAATGTACTTTTGAAAGAACTATAATTGCAGCTTTAATGTGAATGATTCAACTCTCATATCTGAACAAAAGTTTCCATGCTTCCTTAAAACAATCATTTGATGTTGTCACATTTGTCAGTTCACAAGCAAGGCAGAAGCAATGAGGCGTTCTGTCTCAGTGTGTCATATCACCCGAGCACCCTCACTGATTTGCCGTTAGAGAAGTTTAAATGAACACCGTTAAAACTCTGAATTTGGGGTTCAGTACTTCTGTTTGGTATCACTGAAAGTTTGTTCACATTACAGCTCACAGCACCCAAATAATAAGCTATTAGCACTACTCATGTGGGGGGGAAAGGTAATGACAGCATTCATAGTTTTATCTGTAATAGTTTTTTTTTTATTTTGGACACGTCAAAAATGATTTTGGTCTTTTCTGCCGGCATCAGATGGCATGACTTGAGAATGAATCACACCACATCAGTTTGTCTCACTGGGTTTTTCCCTGGTAAAACACAGTTGTTTGCTCAACAGCCAGCTGATCTCAGGTAATCCTGGTCAAACAGTTCAACCACACCACTGTATGTAAAGGATCAACTGCTGGCGTCACTCCCCCAACAGCAGTGGCTGTCAGAATTTACCGTCTGATGTTTAGCTCCACCACGACCAGGAACTGAAGAATGGTGCAACTTCTGTGTATGAGGGAGTCATATTTACTCTTTGCTTTGGTCAGAGCGAGACAATATTGTGACAGGAAAGAACACGTCAGATTTAGTCTGAAGGAACTTGGGCTGGTATGAAATATTCCGAACATTAATGGTTCTCCTTAAAATGAGTTTTCTGGCCTTATTTGCTTCCTCAGAGTAACATAAAGCAGCACACTTTCACCTCAGGCTCATCTAACAAACCAAACAACTCTTTTCCTGTTCCATCTTGCAGCTATGTGGCCTCGCGCTGATAATCATAGGCATCATGGTGCAGATGTCTCTTCATAGCACCTTCATGATCCGGGATGCGTCCGCCTCTGGAGCTCCCATCCTCCTCATTGGCGTGGGCGTCGTGATCTTCTTCATTGCCTTCTTTGGCTGCTGCGGAGCCTGGAAGGAAAACTACTGCATGATCACAACGGTAATCCACACAGCACAGCGTCCACTCTACCCTTAAACTCCCCACAGTAGTTATTGATATTGCTTCATGGAATTAATCAAGTGTAAAGAAGCCAATGCTGTGGCTCACAGTAATAATGAGTGAACATGCTGGCCGTGCATCAGGTCTTTTAAATGGGTTTCCTCCTCACTCCAGTTCGCCGTCCTTCTCTCCCTGGTCATCATAGCTGAGATTGCCGCAGCAATCGCTGGATATGTCTTCAGAAACAAAGTGAGTTTTGTTAGCGACTGGACTTTTTTTTTTTTATGTCGATAAAGGATGTTTTAACGTTGGCCTCCATATTTATTCTCCCATGCAGCTATCAACCATTGTCCAGGACAGCCTCACTGACACGATCAACAGCTACAAAAACGGGACGAAAGAATTTAAAGCCTCCGTGGATAAAATGCAAGAGAGTGTGAGTTCAGTGTAAACCATCCTCCACTTTGTTTACTCAACCTGACAACGCCTTCTCATAACACTGCAGCATCCTGTTGGTTGGTCCTGCAAATTGTGACATTATTATTCTTTGCTCCATCTGTTGACCCAAGTTACGTCCTTTTGCCCAGAGAGGCAAACATTGCAGTTGCTACTGCGGCAATAATGGTTTCATAACTGCTCCATTCACAGTGGAAGTGTTGCGGGGTGAACAGCTCTACTGACTGGAAGTTCTTTTCCACCGAGGGGAACACAGTTCCGGATTCCTGCTGCCTCAATGTCACCACAAACTGCGGAAAGGGGGCCATGACAGACGGCAGTAAAGTGTATCAGAAGGTAAAGGCCTCATTGGATGACACGTGCAAACTGAGACATTTACAGACTCCAAACATCCGGCAAAGCTCCAAATGGTTTCTGGAAAAGTTCTTCAGAGCTTAAGAGACTTAACTAACCGACCAAACAGGAGCTACATTCCATGGAGATGGAATGTAAATATTAGACAGGAACATGACTCCGGTCAGATAACAGTGTTGTTCTGTGACTCTGTGTCACACACCAGCACATTTTCAGTGCAGGTGCTCACTCACAAAGGTGCGCGAGGCCTGATGGGCTTTTGGGCCCGGACAGCCCCTCCAACCTCTCTGTAACCAAGCCCCAAACTTTAAAGGAGTATCACACACTGCTCGGCATTCTGAATAATAATCAATCTTTTTTTTTTTTTTTGCAATCTGCCACCATCACTGAGCACTGAGAGGGGAAGAGCAGACACTTCCTTTTAGACTAGGGAGGTTGTGCCTCCATATGGGCATAGAAAATGACACCCTAAGATATGTGCTTCTGTTATGATGCTTTTTATTAAGTGTGTGTTTTTGCATATGTTAAGGTTTCTGTTTTTGTGTTTCAGGGCTGTCATGACGCCATGGTAGCTTACCTCAAAGAGAACATCCAGTGGGTGATAGTTGCAGCTCTTGTCATTGCTTTCCTGCAGGTACGTAAAAACCCAGCTCACACGCCACAGAGCATCCCCATTTTTGTCGTGCACAGCTGATGGACGGCTAAGCGCAGATAGAAACACTGACAGTCGGACCCTGCGTTCTCTTTCCAGATAATGGGCATCGTGTTCGCCTGCCTGCTGATGAGAGGCATCCGCAGTGGCTACGAAGTCATGTGATCTACACCTGATAAGGCCCTGGCTGGTCAGGTCGCACTTAATGGGATTTTTCATGGGGAAACTTTCATGTTTATCTTCTATTTCCCACATAATACACAGAGCGATATATATATTTTTTCCCCTTGTACCGATAGGAAAACATAAGAAAAGGTTCATGTCCACAATAATGCTAGTGTTGATGTTTTTTAATGAAGAATACAAATCCCTTACTTTGCTTTTTACGGTTTGAGATTTAGACTCTATTTAGGGGTTTTTACGTTTTGCTGGTCTCCAGTACAATTTTTATTAAAGACTCTTTAAATGACACCGGTTTGTTGTCTTTTTTTAAAGAAAGCACCGGGAAAACACCGGGAAGCACGAGGGTATTTATTTTAGACACAGTTCCACAACGCTGCACATCACATTGGCACAGGAACACAACATTCTTGAACAAATAAGAGATTACAAAATGTCCTGTAGCGGAGATAACTTCTGCAACTCATAGCTCGGCTGCATTGTGCCACTGCATGCAAAAGGCACAGGAAGCAAATGACACGCCTGATTTTACACTTTAACACCAGCTGAGATGAGCGGTTCCTGTCTGCAGTGCGACTCCAAAGTAGATGAAAGGCATTTTAGACATTTCGTGCCTCAATAGCCCCACCAATATATTTGCCATTTTAAGTCTCCAAAAGCAATAAAGCGAGCAGGTAAACAAAGTGCCTGACCAACTGTCAGCAGAAAAGTTGCAGCTGAATGAGGGGAAAGTTTCTGAACACATCAGCAGATAGTAGGAAGTTGTGGTCAGTAACCAAACGACCCATTTTTATTTCTCTAAACCTCCATGTGTGACTTTAAAATGGTGCCATCACGTGACCTACTGCTGTTCCATAACCACCCACTTCTTCTTTGTGTATATACAATTTTGATATGACCAGCAATATTCACAAGTAAAAAAAAAAAGTAAAAGCCGATTACAAAAGTGTAGCGTCAGCATGAGAAAATACGGTACACGTTCCAAAAACATTTTAAATGCCCACATAAAACGTGTTTCTTTTTTGGAATACAAATGAACTATTCCACAAATTTCCTGCACAACTTTATCAAGCCAGAAAATCTGTTTCCGTCTTTGTTGCTGCGTGATGATGTGTTGGCTTCCAGGAAAGTGACAGAAATCATAAGGTGCTAACAAAGCTTCATATACAGCAACTAGCAAGCATTTGATGCTTAACGTTTAGGTGCGTCACAGTTAAAACTCTCCTGAGAAACACAAGTGCACAAGAAGTAATAATCTCTGTAATAAAGACACTTTGGAGCAGTCTAATTATTCCTAATTAAATTATTTTCAGACTACATCTGCATAGGCTGGCTGATTGCTGTATTTGTCCTTTCAGATTACTATTTTTTTCCTAAACCCAAAAAAACATATTGAATAGCTTTTTCCTCTCCACCACGGAGACGTTGACAGCTCTTCGGAAGTTGTGCTGTGCGGCGGTCATCTTCAAAGCAAACGTTTGACTCAGGCTTCCTGACGGTGGCGGCTGGGGGGATTTGGGTAGTTTGCGGAGAGAAGTACGAGGCAGTGCAAAAGCAGCGACACCTCTGACTCTGCAAAGGGAGGGGGTTAAAGAAAGTTACACAAAAAAAGTAAAGTAATGACGCTGAGAATTTACATGTACACTTTTAAAAAATGGTTTGGGTTTTTTTTAAAAAACAAGAAAACCTAGTTCTAATTTTCAAAAGTAAGAGATATTTGTTCTGATCGTTTGGGAAAATAAAAATAGGACTTGTATACGTTACAACTCATTTAGCAGGTACAACAGAAGGCTGAACGCTTCAGAGGAAAGTCTGTTTTCAGCAAACTCCCACCTGCTGCACGGTACCTACACCATCCACTGATCTCACTGACTCTTTAAAGATCAGGTGCTAAAAGTTATTCGGAAATGTCCATTCAGCTCCACTTTTACGAATGTGAAACAGAAAAAGCAGAATGTCTAAACCAAACCAATTAACTGGACTGTTGTCCAGTTAAAACCCATTTTGACAAACTAATTTGAACAAATGACAGGTCTTACATATCATTTGCTGCCTTTATTTTCCCCCTGGCATATTTACAAGTTGGGGTAAGTTCAGTTAGCCAAATACCGGTTTCTACATTTATTATATAGCATTCGTCTTGTTGAACTCTTGCACTCATTAATTTCTTTGTGAAACATTAATATTTTTTGGGAAAAACACTCATGCAGTATGGAGACTTAAGTTGTCACTGGAAAACGTGCTTTTAGCAGAAGTACTCACACAGTCTTCTGTATATCTAAGAGAATACCTTTCAATGAGGAGGACACCTGCAGCCACTGAGACAGCCACTCCCGACACTGATTAACACCAAGACTGTCAGAATTGATCCCCCTTACGAAACAAGCCTGAAAAAGGAAGATGTATGAGGCATTTGCGGTGACAACCGGAACTGGAAAGTTTGGCTTGTCAAAGGGTTTTATGGACCTGTCTCAGTTCCGGGTCAGTGAGCTGGTGAGGACCCAGTCTGCTGAGGGCCCGGTCCAGCTGGAGCAGCTCCAAGGCGTGGCTGTTTAGACGTCGGCCAATCAGGAAACCCGGGAGATGAGGGGTCAGGAAGAGCAGACGGCTGATGTGTCGCTGATTAGCAGCAGGGGCAGATAAGAACCAACTTCACTGAGCTGTGGTGTGGGTTCCACTCATTTCTGTCCTGGAGTTTTTTTTTAGGGCAGCTCCTAACTTCAGATATACATGATGCAATGATAATCCAACCCGGACCTTAACGCTGTGCCGTTGTGATTAGGGTCAGGCCCCACTAGCCTAAAACAAGCCAACAATGCCACCTAGTTGTGGATCTAATAAATAGAAAAATGACAAGTTCTCCCTTAAGGTAGCAATTTTTTTCCATCTTATTTTCAGTTAGAGCATGTTTATGCAAAATAAGGAAAATGGCTTTACTGACCATGTGATCAACTTGCATCCTCCTCATACCCAGCGGAGGTCCAGAAAACAGGCTGCGAACGGCAAGGATTTCAGACGCTTTAGGGTTCGCTCCACTCTGCACCTGAGAGTAAACAGGAAGCCACCACATTTAGGTTGAATAAATACTGAATATACAGACATTAGGGAGGGAAAAAAACACCCTGTCTTTGGTTTAAGTTTTTACAAATCAGCATATATCAGGAAATAAGTAGTCCTCGGCTAAGCCTTTGGGGAGCACAACGAGACCTGAGTGAGTGATAGCCGGTGGGATGCCGGGGGACAGGGATGCCGAGAGTGACCCTGCCACCAGCAGAAGCCGAGGATTGGGATTCCAGGACATGCTCATGGGTCCCGTAAACACGACAGGTCATAGCTATTTTTACATCGGGACGGCGGCCTTCACAGGGCGTTGATTTAAAGCCCTGTCAAGTCGGTGCAAGTTTGTCCGCCTTTGAGCACGTCGCGCGAGAACACTGTGGCCTGGTTTCCTCCCCCAGTCAGAACTGGGCCGGCCCAGTTGTTCAAAAGAACATCTGGTCAGTTAGGATGAAGGTCATTCAACACAAATAAACAGCTTCACGTCATCGAAATGTAGGTTGAGGTTTTTCTTTTTTAAGAGAGGATAAAGTTAGCTAGTTTAAATATCTTTTTGGAGTGTAATTGGAAACTAAACTTCCAGAAAAAGACACCAGTTCAAGGTAAAAGTGCCAAACATTATGTTTGTTATGCAAAACAGAAATAGATAAATCGATCATAAATTCTCTTACTTTAGTGCACAGGTCCTTGAGGCGTCCCTGCAGGTGACCATTCTTGGCCTGGTGGTCTGCTGCGTGCTCCAGTCCTTTGAGCAGTGGCCAGTGGTACCGGGCCCGGTGGCTGTGGTACAGCCCTCGAAACTCCACTTGCTGGCTGGGAGTCCAGAAATGAGGGACCAGGAGCTGACGAGGGAAGAAGTACCTGTTGATGATTTAAAAAAAAAAAAAAAAAAGGTTGTTTTTTTTGTTTTGTTTTTTAAAGCATAGTCTGTGACGGTAAAAGAGCAGCACAGAAAAGGCTTTTGTGTTAATCTTACAAGATTCTCTGTGCATGGCTTCAACTGACCCGGGACTGCCCAATTTAAGAGGGGATTAAGTTAAAAAGAACTCACATCAAAACAAAAACCAGGTAGTTGGCAAAGGGAGGGATGGATATCATCACCAGTGGGAAGGCCTTGATTAAGTCTCTGCGAAACTGAAACAGACTTTAAATAGTTAAATAGTTCTAACGGAACCAAAGACAACGTTTTCAATTATTTGTCACTGGACTGTGTCCCTGCTCTGGTGTAGAGCTGTTTATGCCGACATCTTTACTAAATGTATTATATTACTACATATCAGCTACGGTGCAGCTAACTCAAAGAAGAAAAAGCCTGACCCGTCTGAGCTTCTCCATCTCTCTGTAGGGCAAATCCTGGAACTTCATCCCATCAGACAGCATTTTAACTTTTATCCTCCTCACATCTTTGACATCTTGGAACAGCAACTTGAATCCTAAACAGACTCGATGACACAAGCATTGTGTTCAAAGATCATTTCTGCGCAGTCCTGAGTAAAAAGGATGTGTGGCAAGCTCAATTTTCTGGGCATGACAAGCAGATTTTGAAAATAACCTGTGCTGAGAAGAAGACAACACATTTTCATACTTCCTGCTACACATGCTAAAAGGAATAATTCAGCATTTCCTCCAAAAGAACAAAGTTGGCATATAAAGCACAAATAATTTATCCAGAGCAAAAAAAATGTTTACTGTGTCCTTCGTGTTTGTTGCTTTACCTTATCAACCAATCATTTTAAGGTTGTTTTATTTTTTCAATTAGAAGGAAAGCACTGACCTGTCTTCTTATTTCTGCAAGAGTCACCTGTAAATATCCATCCTGGAAACTTCATAAAAGCTATTCTGATGTAAATACCCCATTTTGTCATAGAAAAAAGTGTGCACATGCAATGAGGTGACCACAAATAGGTAATTAAGTAGAAAAGGGCAGCATTTGCTCTGATCAGGACCAGATGACAGTTGGTGTCTTTCTGTCATAATGTGGCTTTTACGTAGGACAGGTGATATTGCAGCATTCATTGGTATAAGGTTATCATCAAATGTAGATCAGCTTCGTCTTGCTAACTTCTTACAATCTGAACTACATTTGTCTTAGCTGAATAGGGTATTTATATTCCACTATATCAGTTCCTTTTGAACGTTTGAACAGGTGCATAGAGTTTAAAACCTGGTGCGCCCAAACACTGACTCGCTCGAGACGTCAAAGGGAAAAATAAATAAATAGTGGGCTTACCTTCCACGAAAGTGTGATAAAGCTGGAAAAATCGTGGGAACCGCCTCTTGAGGAAACCCTCATATTTAGCATTTGCCCATTGCAGCCTGGAGCTCACATATCGTCCAATACCTCTTCTAACTTTGGAGGATGTATAGTGTCTATACGGGACGAGCCTGGGATGTACAAATAGTACATATTAGGAGCAATAGTTCATAATTGAAATGCTATATTCGGTCAAAACATCGCTAAAAACAAGCACTATGTCAATATTTTGATTATTCCTTAGCATTGAGTTACACAGGCAGCTAGCTTAGCAAAGCTTCAACAAAACGCGACATTAAATGCCACAAATAGCAATGGTGTGAAGATTAAATGCATACCTGGACTGACTAGAAATGTTAGCGGAATAGAAGCCATTTGTTATCTTATTTGTGCCAAGTCCACCAAGTCGTATCAAAGACAACCGGCTACACAGCCTGGAACAGGACAGCGCCATCTTTGCTGCGCTGCGCCGTTACCGTAATGACGCCAGTCGCAACTCAAGGCGCAACTGACAGCTGTTCAGTTACCGTAACGCAACGGTACTTTGCGAAATATTTTTTTAAATACCCGGAAATATTACCGCGGATAAATATAGCTGGGTTTATCCAAGACATCACGTGAAATCAACACTTTTCATGTTTCTAAAATCTATTTTCAATTCACCATAGTCTCTACAGGGGCTCTCTTTATGATAATATTGAGTTTGTTTGTGGTCAGTTATTGCTTTAATATCCTGTCCTGTTGTGTATGATAAATATCAGTCTCCTTTGTCATGTGCTTTAAGCTTGCCATTATTATTTTGTCTATTTTACCTATTTTGTTTTCAGATAATCCTTTTGTTATATTGTTTTTTCTTGTTGTGTTTGATTCTTTTCCAGCTCAATATACATGTGTGGTTTGTGGTTGGATTTCTGTTTTCCTACATGTTATAAATAAGTGCTTAGACTCACATGTTGGTGGCCAGCCCACAAGACTTGGGTCCGAACTTTGCTGTTGATTGCCTTCCTGAAACAGCTATTTTGTTTTCCTATTCAGCTTCACCCTCATGCAACTGAGCTTTTGCATCAAAAACCACAAATAAGTCTTGCAAGATAAACCAGGATAAACCTGCTCTAAAGAAACTTGGAATGAACTCAAACTAATTAATGAAGACCATATACACTAAAGCAAGAAGCATTGGTCAATGAAAGCTAACCTGAAAAGTCTAAATGATAATATTCACAGTAATGGAGCATTTGTCTGATCTCTGCATCTAAGAGAAGGCCATTTGTGCCTGGGGGATTGACAACTCTGGAGGCCTTGCATATTTTTGCAACATAATGGTAAATCACATCTATTTAAAAAGCATGGCTTTGATATGAAAACATCCTGCAATAGTCTAGAATACAAACTTTTCATGAACTGAAAATGTATCGCAAAAAAGAAACAACCTTCTTCTATGCATATCCTGAACAATTGGGCAGCTACGATTCAACATTCCTCTCCAAGCAACCGGTCCTTGACATTTGCAGACTGCAGATTAAAGTGAAGGAAAATAGATGTTTCAGTTACTAGTTACTTCTGTTGAAAAACGTACAACAATATATACATAGTTTGCATTCACAACCACATAAAAAATAGTTCCCTATACTCACCCAAACTAAGTAGTCCCAAATGGAGAAGCACCATTATATAATACTGAAGAAGAACAAAAGCTGTTCTTCATTTGTTCTTCTGGATATTTTCGCAGTGATAATCCTGGAGGTATGTTTACTTTTGGGTGATCTCGCTGACATGCAATAAAAAGCTCAGCATTTGGTCACAAAGGTCCCCTCCATCCATGTTTCCATTGTATTCTGTGATCTCTGCTGGTCATGTCAACTGGGCACAAGTTATTTCTTTGTTGGACCATGTACTACAAATGTTCTCTGGATCTTTCCCATAATTGGTGGAAGGTATCATTGCTGGCTTATTTTTAAACCATTTCCTGACTGACAGGACCCCTACAGACAACTGAAGTTCCTCACTCAGAAGCTTTGGCTACAGTTTTATCCTCATTAACAACGTGCATGGTCATGAAACTAAATTTTAATGTACATTATGTTTTACATCTTGAATAGCCAATGAATGACTTCACAGGAAGAATGTGAAGTTCTTTTTCACGTTAAAGCGCCATAAAAGTCCGCCATTTTTAAAAGTCATATATTGTTCCAGCCAAGCCGGGATCACGTGACTTTACGCGAGAATTAAAAAAGGCGGTGTCTTCGCACTAAACTCGCTCAGCTGAACTCCAAAGGGTGCGGTGAAAATTAAAACAAAAAAAAACAAAGAAAGTCAGGTAAAATAAATTGCCATTTTTATGTTAAAATGGGTGTTTTTTTAATTGTGGTTTTCAAATATTCGAAATGATATCCTGAAATTTGTTTAATTTTATGCTTGTTTTTTTTAACTAAAACCGACTGAACTCCGTAAAGTAGTTCGGTTTGGACCATACGGCCGCTAGCTGCATCATGCTAGCAGGCTTGGCGGCATTCCAGCTTTTTCAAGAGGCTACATTAGTCATTACATGTTTGAGTCATGTTTTGGGTCCGTTATGTTTAGAGAAGTATAGGTTGACATGTTTCTATAAGAGAGATACGAATGTCTTTGTTTTGCTGGAATATTTAGTCGTTTCTAGTTTGACTTGTGCAATAGCGAGGCCTTCTTTCTCCACGTAGTGAAACATTGATTTTTTTTTTCTAAACGGGGGATTTCTACTCTCTTTTCTCTTTACATGTAAGAATCACAGTTACTTTAGTTATCCTCTAGTTCTATCCATTTCTTTCAACCCTAAAGTGTTAATGTGTTGGCTAAGGTGAGTTCCAACTCCTCCCAGTTGAACAGGGAGGCTGAGCACAGCATGGCGACCACCTTCAGGTTCGGAACCACAAGCAGTCCATGCCGGGCAGCCTCTGAAGGGAGGGCGAACGAGGCCGAGGAATACGGTGAGGTCAAAGGCTGTGGAGCTTACTAAACAACCCATTCATTTGCAATTTTAACCATTGAAACAATTTTTTTTTTTCTTAATAGATGATAAAGGAAACAGTGACCCAGAAAAGCTACTGCAATGTCCGTTTGACAAAAACCATCAAATCCGGGCCTGCCGATTTCCTTATCACCTGATTAAATGCAGGAAGGTGGGTTGAGTATTTATTTATTTATTTTGCCCCTATCTTGTTGTTCAGCTGTGGAAGAGTGCAACAACTGATTGCTTACAAAACTTACACCTGCACATGGCAGCAGCATTAGAATATGGTGTTGTGTTTTTAGTAGGTTTTGATGAACGAAGTGGAAAGGACAGCGGCGTAATTTCTAATCACCAAAAGTAAATTCTGATTTAGGAAGAAAGGGGTTATATGTGTAAGGTCGTTTCTATGGACAGAAATTATCCTCTGTTCTGGCCTTCTCTGTCAATTAAATTTCTGTTAGATAGTGCTGCCAAAATGTCTCCTCCCAAATGTGAGCGAACAAATGGGTCAGAACCACTCATTGGAAAAGTCTCACAGGGATTAGTTCAGCTGGAAACGAGTCACTAAAGTCAAAGTGATGTAATGAGAGGCTTTCCTTCATGGGAGAGCCACGTTGGAGGGAGGACCCACGCTGTGGTCTTGGAAAATATGTAGAGCGGTTTCCGAAGAGCCCGGATATTGAGCTTATGACTGAGCAATAATGATCTGTCAGGTGAAGGATTTGAAAGATGGATGGATTGGTTTAAGGGTTTCTGAGAAGGAAGCGTGGTCATGAGGGAAACTCTTGAGGGGTCTTGATCTTGTAAAAAAAAAAAAACTATATTGAATTAAATCGCTGCTTTCGTTGGTGCAGAATCATCCCCAACTGGCCAGTGAGCTGAAAACTTGTCCCTACAATGCTCGCCACCTGGTTCCCAAGCACGAGCTGGCACAACACACCAAGACTTGTGAATACAGAATATCTGTGACAGCTGAGGAGGGTGAGATGATTACTGTGGCCGTCTTTCTCAACCGGATTCAGTTTAGATGGTTGAAGCATGATTTTTGCTTTATTTGTTTTTCTTCTTTTAAACAGCTGAAGGCATAAATGGACAGTGTAACTGGCACGTTCCAGTAAGTACGTGGGTAAATCCGAACATGTCTGAGGATTGGGACCAAGGTATGATTTATTTATTTATTTTTACTTTTAAGATGCAAACCTAATTTTATCTTCAGTTTTTTTTTTTTCTTTTCTTTTCCTTGCAGAGGCAGATGAAGAAGCTGCTCCATTCGTGTGGGGTGTAAATACAATGCTGAATCAAATGTAAGTGACCTGCTGAACGGAACCATCTGCATTTTTTAAAAGTATTTAAAAAAAATGTATTTTGGATTTAAAATTCTGTTTTTTTTCCTTTCTCAACAGTCCTGACTCAAAGCCCGCCAACCACCTTGGTAAAAGCTTTAGAGTGCCCAATAACCTCCCATGGTCTGGATTGTGAAGTTGCTTTTTTTTTTTCTGTTTATATACTCCCTTAGCTTTGTGTGTATGCATGCAAGTGACTTTCAATTTTAGAATTTGTTCTTAATGTTTCTAAGCTAACTTTATATGGGCACACCAATCCAAAATATCTTCCCTCTTGCATGCATCTAATTTTTGTCACTGAGCGCAGCTGCAACCTCACTTATCGACGCAAGCCTTGGTTTTTACTCTTGTTTTATTGCTGGGCTTCGCTCCCCTACTGCAAACCGTCCTGTTAAATTGTGTAATGCTGAAGGAAAGGGTTTGTGCAATGGGTTTGCAGTTTGGCGTGGTTATTTGCATACTATAATGCACAGCATCGTTGGATCTTACAGAGATCTGTATGGGCTTAAATATGAACAATAGTTTTGTTTTTGTTTCCCCCTACCATTGTATCAGGATTTTAAAGGGGGTCTATTGAACTCATTAATCTGTTGATTAACTTGGTCTTTGTTGACTTTTCAATAAAGGCTAAAAGAACCTGAAATGTTTTTTTTTGTTTTGTTTGTTTTTTTCCCTTTCTATTCTATTCAGAAAAGAAAACTATCTAAATTTACCTGTGAAGTAAATGTATGTTCACCCTGCACAGAATGCGTGTCATCTTCTTTTGAATAGATGAATAAAAGGAATCCTAAAAAGACGTATTGAAATGCAGGTTTTCTTGTTTGACAAGAAAGATACATGTAAAAGAAACTATATACAAAACATCAGTCCTCTGGCTATATCACTTATCCCAGGTTGCATAGGTCCATCACAGGACCAATATTCAAAACAAGTGGGTATTGGATATTGTCCCTTTCCAAGTCCCAACATGTTGACCACTTGGGGGCGCCACTTGTCCGTTTTCTAGTGAAACAACTCTCCAACATAAAATACATTTTTAATCTATCCACTTAGGCATAAATGGGTTCCCATATCCGTATAATAACTCAGTTTTTTATTAAATGCACATCAGGGAAATACTGAAAACCAGTGAAGGCAGCTGTCCAGCGCTGAGCTCAGGGTGATAAAGTGTGAGGGCAACCCAAGTGTGCTGTCACTTTTAAGTGGCATTATTGATTTCATGTGATGACTATCTATTTCGGTTGTGGCTATTATTAAACGTGTTCAGGACTTGTCTGTGAGGATGAGATATGACTCATCAGAGAGGAGTACATGCAGGACCTGTGGTCTATCTTTGGCTGTTCTCCTTCAAGGAAAACACTCTTAAATGATGTGGATGCTGTATGTTTTATCACTTGTGCAGAATTTCCAATGACACAATTTTTTAACTGCTAGGGTTTAAATGCCACACGGTCCCTTTTAAAACCTGTTCAGGGTTCAATGGGGTCCCCTGTTCGTGTTGTAAAGGGCTTAAATGCTCTTCAAGCTGATGAGTGGGCATCTGTTCATTTTTGGCAAATTTGTGGAAAAAACAAATAAACTACTCTCTAATGTTGATATAAATAGCTCCACTCTGATTTTGAATGAGTTTCTGGCTATTTCACGTAATGTGATAACATCCTTTGGTTTATAAAACGACATAAAATCTTCTTAGCTGATAACTGATTTGAAAGGTGTTGTATTTCCTGTCTTGGACCTGGGCTGAGATGTTCTACTTTGACACAATTGAGCAACTATGAAAGGTTATCGATTGAAATATTTACCCTGGAAATTTAAAGCCCAATCCATAGAGACCAAGAAATGTTATATGATAGCGAACAGCTCAAGACATCCTGTCCCAGACTGAGCTGTAAAAAAATAAATACTGGCAGTGGTACAACATCTGTAAGTCTATCAGGGCAGGTCTTTTGAAGTGAATCAGATAAGGTGGGGGTGGGTGGGGTGTGGAGGTGGGGGGGTTTGCTTCAACGGACACTCCACAACATACAGTATCAATCATAGATTTATATTATTATTCTTTAAAACATATAGGGTGTCAATTCAATAAGTCCGGTTACAGAGGAGCAGATCATTATGTACATTTATTTTTCAAAATCCGTTTGCTTTGATCTGCATACATTTATAAATTCTGTTTTCTTTTTCTCCGTCCACACTGGATGGTGTGTCATTGTGTGATTGCGTGTCAGAACTGCAGGTTGTAGTTGCCCGTACACATGACTACATTTCTAGTCTTGTCACTTTCACAGCCCCTCATCTTCACCCCGTGGAGGAGACTGGACATTAGGAAACCTGCTTATCCTTTCCACGTCCCTGTTCCCATGACAACAAGAGGTGACAGGGTTTACATTGTTCCAGCATGACCCTGAAAATCCTCACTTGGCCTAATGGACTCTCTGCAAACAAGCTCCAGGCACGCCTCTGAAACCGATGCCTCCTTGGCGGGCGTCATTTTGTAAATGTGGCGCTCTCGTCTCTCGCAGACGAAAGAGTCCGTCGGGTACGACCTATCCTGCAACTGATCCTGTGAGTCTGTCCATGGCTGCGATGCCTCGTTGTCGAACCCATTTCCACCAAGTGGGAATTCTGCTGCTCTCACTTTCCTCGGTTACCACTGAGGCACGATGATGACTTGGCCGCCGTCCACTCTATCTTTATCTCTGTACTATTACATGTACGCACTGTAAGAACAGGGATGGAGACTATCATGTTGCTCTTGTTGCATAAGAAACATTTGGAGCTACAAAAACCTGTGGAGCTTTATACACAACTGAATGCAATAGCATGATTAAAAGAAAAACAAGGAACAAAAATTTGTCCTCTCCCAGTGTTTTCTCATTCTCAGCAATCCGTACCGGTAAATTGACCACCTGCGTTCAACAATCAGCTCCAGGGGCTCCACATTGGCAATCTAAGTTAGATGATTGTTTAAAATTCCACCTTGCATATGATGACGGGACGGTCCACCTCCATTTGCCACAGCTTCTCACAGTACGCAAAATCCAAGAATATGATCCTCAACATGCTGCCCTAAGCAGATGATGGCATCTTCTCCAACTGCAGAAAGATATGAAGCTGTACCGGGTCCTAAAAGATGTTGACTTGCTGACAATAAAAGAACAACCAGGATTATCGTGATGTTGTGAAGACCATCCATCATCTCCACTTAATCCTCACTCGCTGAGTTTTTGTGCAATCCTCCATCCATGATCTAGCCTTCACTTTCTCCATCTGCATCTTCACCTGACAGCTCCAGGGGGTTCTGAGTGACTTCTCATTAGCCAGAGCTGTTAATGGTTGTCTTTACAGGACAGAATGAAGCAAGCAAACAGAACTACAGATCAAAAAACTGCACTGGTCAGCTCAGTTGTTGGAATTTATCAGAGGATTTTCGCAGAACAATCACTTACCAACCCATCATTGGCTCGTCAGGAGATCAATTCTTCTCACTTTGGTTACCCTAGCTCCATCTTGAAGCCAACAGGTGAATGGATCACGATTATGCTTGGAATCTGTTGTCATCAGTCATTATCCAAAAAGGATGGTTTCCATGTTCCCTGTGCCAGATAAGGCTCTTTTTTAGTCTCTAATTGTGTTGTAGAGTGTAGCCCAGTCTCTACGTCCTATTTTGGACCATTACAGAGCATCACAGAGCTTCAAAGTGCAACCGCGTGATAAATAATCTCTCATAACCATGAACTATGGCAGTATCTTGCATACAATACTTCAAGAAATATGCGGTGTGCATTCATGTGATGCCGCGCACTCACACGCGTCCATAGCAGCACACAATGACGGAGTGGTCTGGGTTATTTGAGAACAGACAGGGAATTCCACCACCTTCTAAAAAGGGACCGGAGCATGACTGGGGGGGGATGCGAGGTGCCGCATTTTTCAACAGTGTGTTCTGATCCGCTGCCAAAAGAAGATTCTGTACTTGACTCAAGTTTACACGCTGTTAGGGCAACATAATACCCCGCTCTGTCACACAGCGGATCGCACAAAGCGTAAGATATCATAAAGTCACAGGTCTCCGAGGGCACAGGAAGCAAAAGGAGCCACCGGTCCTCACAACTGAGTCTTTTTTTTTCTCCAAACCATCAGAAATTAAAGACGACCAATATGTTTAAAAGGTGCAGTTCAAGATTTATTTCCTGTTTAGATGCAGGGAAATATCATCTCAGAATGTAAAAACAAGAGTCCTACAGCAAACTGATCAGTGACTGTGGGTTACAGCGCACGTCACAAAACATTTGCAGACTTGAAATCTGTTACAAACAAAGCTGTTCTGGACAAGAGTAGCTGCTCAACGCCAATTCATGATACATGAACAATACCACTGAAACAAAACATGTAGGTTTCACCTACTGAATCATCGCCAAAAAGATTCAAAATGGCACTACATATAAAGTGTAATAGAGTTGTGAGAAACTTAAGCCTCACGTATTAATGAATGGAAAGTCTGTCTGGATCACAGCCATTTGTTTGCTTCGGTATGAAGAGGACAGTTAATGCTACAGCTACAGATGTCACAATATCCCTCGATGGTGACACTGTATGTGCTTCGAAGCTGTTTCGAAAGTTTAGTAGTCTTCCAACCATCGGGAATGGCTCCATTTTGTGGCAAGTTGTTGTAGGTAAACCGTCGCTGCTTGGTCCATAAGCTGACCTTTTCTCATTCCTTCCAGAGACTGCATGAGCATTAGCAAGCGTTTAATGTCATATCATTCGCTTCATATTCAGATGTTGCATATTTTTTTGCAACGCTGCCAAATCCCAATGGAATTCCCTTTAGCCTGTCTGCTCACTGTTTTTTTTTATGCCTGAAGTGTGAGCATTCGGTCCGTTCCCTTTTTGGCTCTCCAATGACCTCCGGGTTTCAGTCGACACGGAGTCTGGCTCAAAAGGGCAGCGTGTCCATGAAGATTTTTTCCACGATGGGCGGCGGAGGCACGAGATCTTCCAGTTTCAGATAAAAGATGCGCTGCAGGCCTTGTGTGCACAGAGTCCTGAGTTCGGGCAGCTTCCCGAGAAGTCTGGACAGATAATTGGGCCGCAGCGACTCGGAGCCGCAGGCGGACATGTGGTCTTTGAGGCAGGTGATGAGCTGGTTCTGCAAGTCCTCCACACGCTTGGGCTCCTTCAGGCCATGTCGGTCTGCGGGGGACATGAAACAGGACACTCATCAGACTTTTCCAAATTCATAGTGGGACTTTTTCTTCTCTAAACAAACTGGACACAATGGTCACACAATATGTCCGTGCTCCTATTCTGACCCATTTCATCCACCCCATATGTACAGCATCACTCTGATGATGTTCAGATTGTGCTCCCTGCAATCAGGACAAGGTCCAGTTTCACTTTGTCTCACACCTGAGGTGTCCACATTGTGTCGTGTAACTTCACTGACGGAGATTACCAGATTACTCATAGATTTGATGGGAGTCGATGTCTTACCGGTTATAATGACGAGAGCCGTAAGACAAGAAAAGGAGGAAACGTCCAGCTTCATGCAGTGCAGGCTCTGGGAAAACTCTAATATGGAGTCGATCCAGTCCCCAAAGCCGCGGACACACTGCGTTTTATGGAGCACCGCGCCGTTGCAAAAGATGAGTTTTTCTGTTTTAGGATCGGACCTTTAGAAAGACAAAATAAACACAGGTTTGTTGACTCAAGCATATATTTAAAAAACACTATGAATAACCGTCTAAGTCTAGTGGCTCTCACCGATACGCAAGGCGCAAGATGAAGAGCTCGACGAAGGCCGACTCCAGCAGCAGCTCCTGGTCCTCCGGGCAGAAGTCAGAGAAACCCGGGATGTCCTTTGCCCAGTTCTTGATGACTTCCATGGAGGTTGTGAGCAGGTCGTAAAACTGCTTGATGTCGCTGGCATCTTCTTTCTGGTCCACGCCGACTTCCTTCTCTACGTACTAAAAGAACAGATAACAGACAGATGTTATGGGGGCACGCCCTCATTTGGCCTGATGTCGAATTTCTCCGATAGAAAAAAACGAGGGAAAACAAATAAAACCGAGGCGTGTTGCTGTTGCTCACCTTAGAGTAATCCAGAGACCCGACGCCGGGGTTGGATTCAATGTGGGCCCTCACCAGAGAGGCGATCATGCTCACCGGAGACACATCCTGGGTGACTTTAGGCTTGGAAGGCAGGCGACCCCTTCGTCCTTTCAAGCTGTCAGTTCTTACAACTGAGAAAAAAGAAAGACAGGTCACAAAAGCTGTTATTTTGATGTCCTTCTTCCAAGAACTGATTCAAAATTTTGAAGTAAAAGGGCACAGAGGGCCACTTTCCCCATAAATTTCCAAGACTAAAGATTCTTCTCACATATCCAAATACAACTCTTTTTTTAAAACTCTCCCTGTTCTGGTGTTAACGGCAGAAAGGCTTTGGTTAGGAGGCTATAGAAGCCAATAAAGCCGTTTAATCTAGGACAGTAGGACCTACTGTCAAAGAATGCTCCAGAACATTAAAAGTAGGCCTAAATTTGGCTTAAACAATGAAGTAGAGTTCCGAACTGATGTGCCTGGGGCTGGACTATGCTCACCTTCCCTGACCATCCCCACAGCCAGACATTTCTGGAAGCGGCAGAACTGGCAGCGATTCCGCCTCCTCTTGTCCACGGGACAGTCCTTGTTCGCGAGGCACACGTACTTGGAGTTTTTTTGCACTGTTCGCTGCAAAATAGGAAGGAGAAATGATTGTGAACACGGTTGGAAGGCTGGCAAAACGCTAAACAAACCGTTTTTCCAATCAGAAAAGGAGGCATGTGTCCTTTTGGTGGATAGGTGGCCGGATCGTCTTACCTTGAAAAAGCCCTTGCACCCCTCACAGGTGCGCACCCCGTAGTGCTGGCAGGAGGCGTTGTCTCCGCAGACGGCGCAGCCGCCCTCGCTTCCACTTTTCAGCTTGGGCGACAAGCTGCCATCCGGCTGCTCGGCGCCGTCCAGGCTGCACGCCTGCTCCATGCTCATCGCGGGGAAGGCCAGGGCGGACGGGTGGAGGTGAGCCACGGCAAAAGGCTCCTGCTGAACCATGTGAGACACGTCCTCCCCGAAAGTGAAAAAAGAGGGCGCGTGCGAGCCCGAGGGCTCCTCGGCCGCCCAGTATCCCGGACTGGACGAGTAGGGTCCGAAGGCGGAATCCCAGTTGGAGCCGTGCTGGCTCTGGAACCCGGGCGTGGAGGGAGACGGGGCGGACGCGGGGCTGCCGAAATAGTCCGAGCCGGTCGGGGAGGCGGCCTCCTCCGGGCAGCTCAGCATGAAGGCTCCGGGGTAGCACCCGTACACCTGGAGGTCGTCCAGCTTGAAAGGGCTCTCCTGGCCGGGCGCCGGAGTCGCGTGAGCCGGAGCCGTAGTGAACTGGCAGGAGTAGGCGTCCAGCTCTCCGGACGGAGAGCCCACCAGGGAGCCGATGCTTGGCAGGGCCGGAGCGGCGAGCAGGTCCCGCTGGACGCTCAGGTCAGCCGCCAGCCTGGAGAGCAGGTCAGCGCTCTGGAGCTCCGGATTGTTGAGGTTTATCTCATAGGACTGAGACCCGTGCTGGGGGTGGATGCAAGTCATAACTGCAAGACTGAGACACATATCATGAAAATGTTAGAGCAGCCAAATAGTTTTAAATAAAAAAAAAGTATCATTCTACCATAAGATACAAATAAAGTAATGTCTGTTTTTCATCTCGATCTTTTTTTTGGTTTAAGTTGAGTTCTGTGTTCCCTGTAACTACAATAACCCAAAGTTTACTACTTGGGAAGCTGATCAGATACAAGTCATAGAAAATTCTAAAAGCTTATAAACAACTTCATGCATTTTTACACTGATGCAGCAAACCGTGGAGGAGTGAAGGGACTCCAGAGTAAGCCTGGTTTCTTCCATTTATTTAGGTAAACATAAAAAATAGAAAGTCACTTTCTTGGTTTATCAACAGACACCTTATCACGTATTACTCCGTAGTAAATATAGTAACGCCTGCAAAGTGCAGCGGGGTTGACTTACATCCAGCAGCACGCTGCCAAAATACACATGTGCCCATCGAGCTGGCAGACTTACACACCCCTTTTCCCCTTTTTTTGTACAGAGAGAAGTTTGGCTATCAAAAATCAATAACATTGATGAAAGATCTCATTAAAAATAAAAATGGCAAAAGTTTTATATTTCTAAGAATATTTACCCTTCTACAACTTCCAATCATTTAGCTGTCTGCCAGGTTCCTAATTTATGAAAAGTCAAGTGTCTCCAAAACTTTAGCCTTGTTTTAGAGTTTACGTCCACACTGGGAAGTTCCTATAGATTTCTTACCTGCAGTCTACAATTGTCCAAGAAAAAGAAAAAAGGTGTCTGCTCTCTACTAACGACGGTGTGTCATGTTCGGCGTCTCTCAGCTGAGCGGCAGTCCCACGGCTCCGTCCGCCACTACTCTCTTATAGCGCCGACAGCCTCGTGCCCATGACGTCAGAGAAAGCGTTTCCATACAAGGCCGCCGGGTGGGCGGGGAGATTTCCAGGCCGCAGCCAATCGCGTGGCGCGTTCAGAGAACGGTCTCCGGATGACGCACGGCGGGATTCCGTTGACGCTCATTCAGCAGAGAACCGCAGCATTGTCCTCCACTCACGCACACGCGCGCGCGCGAGCGAGCGCTTTCTCACAGGAGAAGGGGGGGCGGGCACGCGCGCGTGCACACCCAAAGCACAAGACAGCTGGATAAAAAGTCAATAAAAGCTCAATAAAATGCTTTTTCCCGGGCCGGCGAAGTCGCCGCGACAGGTCCCGCTTTACTGCGAAGCGGGAAACGCTGCTGGCAAGAATGGAAAATGGTTTGATTTCATCGTTTCTAAACAGGAAGTTAGAGAAACTTTTTTTTTCTGTTCCTGTGAAAGGCTGAAATTAGCCCCCGTGTCTGGTGTGTTCCGAAAATATCAAGAAAAAAGAACCCTGCATCTTAACTGATTATAAGTTTTTTTTCCTCCCTTCAGTTACAAAATAGATGTGAAATGTAAAGAAGGACAAAAGAAAGGCAGCTCATTCTCCATTAAGTAGCTTCAAATGTTCAGTTATCCATATTTACCATGTCTGAACAAGTTTAGTGTTTATTATATTAAATATTCAGCTGATTATTTAACCTTAAGCAAGATGCCATTGGACATACAGGTGTGTTTTGATTTGAGGTTTTTGTCTTGTTGATGGTGTTCTTGGCTGTCTCTGGTTTTTGCTTCTGTGCTTGGTATTTAATGAACCTGTCCTCCTTTGAGAAAAGAGGCATGAATTTGGCCGGGCCAAATACTAGTCATTTGTACATTACAAGCATCTGAGTATGCCAAAGCTATATTTTGTGTTGTACTTTTGTGTTTTCGCTTTCCTGTCAGAAACTAAATGTGCACACTTGAACACTTTTCAGGCATTCTGTCATAGAATCACTTTCATCCCGCTCTGCTGCTTTTCTGAAAGATACTTTTAACCCCAGGAGAGAGACGAAAGACACGAAAGCTCACTCTCATGGGAGGAAGCGCTTTGCACAAGCCGGTTCAACAAAGGAAGCAGGTATCACACACACACACACACACACGTGCGCACATGAAGGTGAAATTGTCATTACGGAAGTAGTGACTATTTAAATAAAGGGAACCATTCAGTTTTGCAGAGCTGTGGTCCTCATTATGACTTCCAGCTCAAGTTCATTGACACCAGAAGAGACTGTGTGGCACAGTCACCGCCAGAATTCAAACCAACCTTTTGGAAAGTACACTTTTTAGAGTCACGAGGTATTTAACTGGAACTGTTTTTCTCCCTCCGGTTTTCCTCTGAAGGCCAACTCTGGCTGGTCAGGTCGCTATTTTCATGCTATCTGATTTTTCCTACGTCACGTCTCGCTGCCATTGATGACTGACAATGTGAAATCACAGGCAGGATCCTTTCTTTGGATTCCCCCTGGATATGCAATTCAACCTATTGGTCGTTGGTGCTGTAGCATCTGCCAGGACGTTGTGATGTTGACTTTTATTTTATTTTTGTGTTTCTATGATTTTAGAGAAACTTGACTTTTTGCATTGGACGGATCACACACACACTTCGTGTTTTCGGCCACACATGCGTTCCCAGCTCTTCCATAGTGCTATTTTCAGGTTAATAAGAAGTCTAGGATTCTGTTAACAAAAGAAAAAAACTGGTTCTGCATGCTTGTCACAATATTTCCATATGTAATAATTCCAAATCACCCCAGGTCTACCGTGAGAGCTGCAGGGGATCCATGAGGAAGTTCTCCATTCTAATCAACCAGATAGGAGAAGGGAGCACCAACCACAAAGCTTTTCTTTTTTTTTAAACAGCAAGACTGGTCAAAGTTACAACCACAGCCTGGAAAAAAAAACTGTCGAGCTGCTGAAGTCACATCCCTGGTGGTTTGCATGTAGATGTAAATGAGCGAGAAAAGATACCATCACGGGTACTTTGCATCTTTTTCCAATCCTAAGAGAATTTCATGACCTATTTGTAGTTATCACGTGTTGATTTTGGACACCACAGCCTCATTAAGGGTTATTTCTCAAAGTGTCAAAGTGTCCCACAGCGTGCTTCAAAGTGTGAAAGCAAACAGGTTCAGTATCAAGCACTTTTTATTCCAGTCAGGTTGTATGCAGCAAGTCAGAATACAAACATGCTCCAATCACGTATCATCGCTCCTGCTCAGTTAATAATTAGTGTCATCACATAAACTGGGAAGATTATATGACTAAATACTTAGCTGCTATTTTTTGCCTGGCAGATTGTCGGTGTAGCATGACGGTGGGACTTTCATGTAACCGGCCTCTGAAAAGCATCAAATCGGAGGAAAGGGGAAAAAAAAAAACCTGACAGATGGTTTAATTGCTACATAGATCAATCTGCTGTCTTATCACATGTATATTGGAAAACCAACTGAGCAACACTGGCCTCTTCACTCTTCATACGTCCGGTCTGTTTTGGGCCTTGCAGATAATTTGGGCTTGAGACAGCTCATATTCTGCACTCCAAATATCTGCTGCTCTCAGCAGGGGGGAGAAGACCAGTAGCTCCCCAACGAGCCGATCGGGTTCAAGCATGCCTTTGTGCTAAGTCTTTCTTCATGCCAGGCAGTCACTCGTATTATTTTATGGGGTTTGTCAGGTGGGCAATGTTTGCCTGCAACCCGATATGTCCATGTGGAACCTGTCTGTGCTGACATGTGAAATAGAGAGTAAAGCCGCCGTCAGTTCGCAAGGTGTTAAAGCTTTCAGCGGATCGGAACACAGTCAGAAAGGATCCGATACTCACCATGTCTCAAAGTGAAGTCACCCCAAGCTCAGGTTAAAAAAAGACACAGGATGTATTACTTTCTGTCATTAGTCAACATTAGTTAAGTCAAACACAGGGATTATAAGACACAGCGTGGAATAATAAACTCCTGAGAGCCGCATCTCAGGACCTACAGGTCAAGGTTGGCATGCTGAATGCATGTTAAGGTGTTAAACTGTTAGAAAGATGGCTGAAAAATGTATTGCAGGAGAAAGCTCCTTCTCCTGTCAGCTCAGCTTACATGTATGAGGTTAAATATGAAACAAACAAACAAAAAACAACACGAAAACTTTAGGAAAATGTCCAGAGAAAAAACAAGGAGCTGTTTGGTCATAATCCACCCTGAAATATTGCGATAAAACCAATCAGAGCACAGCAGAAAACTAGTGGAGGGTGATGACCAGCTAGGATTATTCTGCAGCCACATGACCTGGACGCTTTGCAATCAAAGGGCAGACCCCGAACTCCTCTGTAGACCAAAGTGTTCCGAGTCAGATGTGAGATCATCTGTCTGACATGTGAGGCTTGGCCAGGATAGGATTGGCTTACACAGCAGTATAAGGATCTAAGCTCATCACCAAACCTACAACTATCTGGCAGAAACAGAACATAACAGAGGTGATGCAGTGGCCGTTTTTCAGTTCAGACCTTGATGTGATTAATATGTTTTGATGGGACCTAAAGAGAGCTGTGCATAAGTAAATACATGCAAACCTCAAATGACTGAAGTGACACTGTGAAGACGTGTCCTGTGTAATATGAAACACGTTTATGCACATTTCAAAAAATTTTTCAGCCAGAATTAGGTGATTTTCTTTTTAATTATCATGATCCAAATAACTGACAATTCAAGACAGTAACCATTTTTTTCCCTTTACTGCATTCATTTATTCATGTTTTTACCCTTAATAATCCATTTTAAACTGAATTTATCTCCCTCAGTGATGGGCAGTTTGCTGCACTACTCTGGACATGCTTCTCCGTTCTTTAAACAATTTTGAGATTTTATGATTTTCTGTTAAAAAAAGCTTCCCAACTAATTTTTTTCAGAAGCTGGTTTTGGATGCTGCTCCACTGGAAGGGTCCAACTGTTAGGGTGCACAACATAAAGGAAACGGAGATGTTGTTGACCTGTTGGAGCGGCTAACTTAGCTCTCCAGAGCATGACGGCAAACAGAAGAAAAGACACATCAGGATGAAGAACAGGAACACATTTGGAGGAGAAGATGAAGGGTTAAACCATTTTCGCCACTGATCACCATGAAAACATTAAACAACTGCCGTATGAAATGGAAAAGCATGAACCTCTGATGAGAACACGGCAGGAATATCAGTGAGGGTTTTTTTTTATCACAAGACAGGCCTACCTAGTTGTCATTCTTCCCGCTGGCGGGGAAAGTCTACAGGCGGAGAGGAAACGGCAGAGGAGGAGGAGGATTGCAGCACTTGCTTATAACATCCTTACATAATCTCGGGCATTTCAATGACAAGAAGCCCCTCCATGCCTCAGCTGTCGGACTGTGGAGTGTGGGTGTCTGCACATGCTGTCTACTGAGAAAGTTCACCTGTGTTTTCTGTCAGAACAGCATGTCCTCTCATCAGCAGAGCTGTTGCCTGGCCTCTAAAACACCAAAACCAACCGCTCACTCCTCACTCTCTCCTGGTCTTTAGCGCTCTACGTATTTGTCTGCTGATTTCTGTTGTATTTTGGGAACCTACCTTTACCAAAACCTAACTTTGACGACATTGTAAGTTCCTCTGTAAGTTCCTTTCTGGGATTAAGAAAGTGTCAGTGGGTTTAATGGAGTTGAATGCAATGAAACTTAAGAGCAGCTCAATGATTAATCCATGGAGACTACTTTTGATTGGACATCTTATGAGGACATCTCCAGTGTCAGTCTGTATGAAGGCTGCTTACGGGTGTACTGCTCATATTTTAGCTATCCGTATAATAACAATCAGCTCATAAGCTTCCAAAATTAAAAGCAGCCTGTGATGCAGAGCCAATAACCGTTCGACTATTTATATCCTGGTATGGTCTCAAACAGATTGATATACAGATGAGGAGTCATCAGTGTTTGAGAGTTATTTCATGTTCAGGCTCAGT